ACATTTTTATTTGATGACTGCAGACGTAGAAATGATTTAGTTTCATCTGGTTTCATGTTTATTGCACCTCTTACCCGACTGGCGCAAAACGGTAAAACGGTAACTGGTAAAAGTGTCTTCCGCCGCCGAAGCAGCTTGGGTGCGATTATGGAAAATGCTATAAATTATTTTGCGCGGACGGCGTCCACTAGAAGTAGAAGCTGATGGAAATAAACATTCCAAATAGAAGCGCAGAGAACGCTTTAAAACAGAAATAAAGTAGTTTACAAATGTGTAATGCTAATAAATATTGCAGAATATAGCTTTGGGTATGCATATATGCAATTTAAATGATTAAAATATGTTAACTTAGGTAATTTTAAATAAGTAGTTTAATGTTTATGCTTCTAAACAGACAATTAACGAATTACAGCTAAGATTTTTATGCAATAACACGAGTAGTAATAAGTTAATGCATTTTGTAGATTTGGTTGCCTAAACTAAAGTGGAATAACATTCAATGAGAAAGAATTGACGTCACTTGTAATATTTCTATTTCTAGTATTTATTGAATTTTGCTACGTTGATTGTTAATATTTTTCATGTGATTTTCTCTTGCATGCAGTTGAGATCTAATAATGACGATAAAATGCGAGGACAGACACGTAACAAGCGTGCGAATGAGAAATGTCAGCGTGTGTTTTATAGTCGACCGATTGCCACCCAGCATGTTGTCTTTTTCGTGCGTTGTCCACTATAATAATACACAACAACTGGACGAAATGATCAGATTGAAATAATCATGAGAAATTTTCACTTGAACTCAGAATTGATTTAACTAGCCTCTAGAATTGGTAAAATATGACAAAAATGTACAAACAGCATTTTTTATGATGCGATTAAAGTAATTTAGTTGATTACAATAATTTGAAAGGTTTACCACGTGTAAAACTTCACAAATAATTAAAAAATAATTCTTCAATACAACCTCAACCTAAAACAAGTAATGGAGACGCATTTAAAAATTATGAAAGCACAAATCATCTAGTTTGGAAAGTGGAATCCAAATCCTCCGTCAGTTCTGAGTTTTTAGACGATTTATCGCACTCCACACGCGTATAGTCTACATCTGCATTAGCTACACGTGAAAAAGTTGTGGATTGACTGCACGTTCACATTAACTTGATCATTAATCTAAATATGATAGCTCTGATAGTCAATTTCATGCTATAAGTTAGAATACTTTATTGTGGCAATAATAATTAAGATAAACTAAACTGTTAGACAATTAAATGACGTCATGTATTTTATTTTTGATTGGTTGAAGAATTCTATGCTTTAAATTTTATGGAATGCAATTAAACAATATACAATTAAAGAATTAAGTTAAAAAGGTGTGTGCTTACCGGCGGTAAAGCATCGCTAAATTGCAGTAAAAATATATATGCAACTTTAAATACAAGCAGTTTAACCAAACTTATGATTATAATGATTGTTCAGGTGAATTTACGTTTGATTCTTATTGTAACTACTTAATTAATCCAAAACTAACGAAAGTTAATTTATAAACAATACTACTTTAATAAACAAGATAATCATCATTATCAAAAAATACGATCGAAAGTCATCTCGGTTTCAATTACGGTCGTCGTTCATAAATGAAAGGTATTTAAATAATATCTTAATATTCTTAATTCATCATGCGATTATAATGATTCTAACGATCCATACACCACATAATAGAATGAATGAATGTATACAATGTATTATTTAGCTATTATTTGAGCACGATTATCACGGAAAGAAGAAGAAGATTGAAAATCGTGACGAACACATCAATCAACAAGTTCGCTACTTATTTAACATGAGGACGACACGAGGTCTTAGTGCGATTATTGTAACATTGTCAGTTGAAGAAAAGTACGATAATTTGGTTTTAAGCAGTTCTCTAATTAATTGCCGTCATCATCATTAGAATGTATTGAAGTCACGAATCTTAAACGTTTTTTCTAATTGAATTATTAAATCGACCGCCGTGGGCTTTGGATATTTTATAAATGTATTTTTAATGTAAAATATTATTCGATTAGTCAATGAATAAATTAGTTAATTACTAGTTTCCTTTTTATATAATCATAAAATCAATGATTTTTTGTTTCTTTATAATTTGATGTGTTTTGTTTTAATTTTTTAAACTTGCTAAGGCGTAAAATTAAACATAGACATCAACTTTTCATTTAGTTCAGTTTCCTTTCATCTTTCGTCTTTCATCTTTGATGCATCACACTTACCTGTCTGGATTAATAATAAAATCAATTAGTAGACAAAAGAAACTAAGTTACCAAAGTTATAAATTGGAAATTTCTATTTAAAAACTCTAAAATAATTTCGTTTAGCGCACAGAGTGAGAAAACGAAGTGTTCAGCAAACATAATTTATGGTCACGTCCAATGGAGCACAAGAGATTCAAAGAAGAAGAAATCTTTGAATACAGTGATTATTATTAGGGTTGGGCAAGTGATGATAGTTCCGGAATTTGTATTATAATCATCTGATTAATATTCACAAAAATTATTCGAAATTATTTGAATAAATCCGTTAATTTTCTTTCATTGAAGTTGAATGAAATATTAAAATAAAAACAAAATGTGAGCGATAAATTTCACCTTAAACTTTCATCGCATAATCTTAAGTTCAAGTCTAATTTCAATCTTCATGAAGTCTAAGGCAAAGATTGGTTGTAAAACAAATAGAATTCGTAGGAAATGCAATCAATTTACTACTTAAATAGAATTTAAAAGAGAAATAATTAAAATGTAGTAGAAATTTATGCATAAAACTCAAAAATTCCATAAATAAGCAGATTTCTAATACATATCTTTATGAAATCTTCGACAGATTTAAAGCATCCATTAAACTCATGTGAACTCACTTGTTGATTTAATATATAAACATAAACATCAACAAAATCTTATTAGTTTCGAATATAAAGTTAAACGTCGGACAAAATCTTACAAATTCCTTCTTTGGGTGCTTAAATGTTTATTTATATTGAGCGTCGTTTCAACGTTTTTTATACATATTCAATAATCGTAATTTTATCTTTCCTGCATGTCCAAATCAATAAGCATCACGAAGAGCTTAACATTCAATTATTAATAAGCATAACCAATAATAAAAAACTGTATAAAAACGCTTAGTGAACGTTTAAAATCGATGGTAATAAACTTGTCTAGAACCAGTTCATCTAGTTGGAAATATTGATGTGCGTGTGATTTATTTCACATTTTCATCATATACAACTCAGGAGTTAATTTTAGAGTGAAAGTTTAATAACTGTTAAGACGTGGTGATGATGTAACACATTATTTTTTACTATTTTTGATATATTTTTGTATAAAACTAGAGTAACCTTTATGTTTTTTTATTGTTTTATGTCATTAAATATAGACTTTTGGTTGATATTTGCTTCTATTTCCGTTTTTGCAAAATTTTGCTGCTCTTTACGGTGTGAATGTAAACATTCGCGGTATTCTCTGTGTGAACTGCGAAGATATCATTACGACAATTCGACGCGTTCGCGCAATAAATGAATCGATCGAATAAATCGCTGATGTTTGGTTGCGTTGATATTATCTCTAAAGCTCGAGCTATTGCTGGATGTGTTCATTGCGAACGGCGTAAACTCGAGGAACATTGCGAGCATTTCGATCGTATCTTGTGCAGAAACACGAAACTTTATTCAAGGCGATGAGTGAAATGATGAAGTGTTGTTGTACATTTATTTATAACAGTAAAAATAGAGTATAGAGTTTTGTGGAGGCAATAAAACGCTTTGATTTCTTATTTTCGGATTGAATTTCTGGAGAATTTAGAAATTTTACGTAATAATATTATTAACCAACCAAAATTGGCGGTTTTTTGAATTTGGTAATTTGCTTTATGAAAATATTCATCAAATATCTCAATTAATATACACATAAATATCTACGTGTTTTATATTCCAACATCCAGGGATAAATATTCATCACTTTTGATGAATAAATCGCCATAAAATCTGATTCATTTAGAAATCGTAATACGGATGACCGTAATACGGACATTACACAGCCACATACCGGTTTAGTTGCATTTTAGTAGCATTGTTAGATTGTTGCATTTATTTATTTTTATATCGGATAAGATTCATGTGCACTGCACATGCATCCATGCACGAGGAAGTCGGTCAAACACGCACGCACAAACGCAGAACGCAACAAAATGTGTAATTATAAATGGAATTTTGATTTCCTTGAAAGAAACACCATCCGTTTCTCTAAATAGTACCAAGATTCCACTATCCAAAGCGAAAGAACGTTATGTCTCATAAAAACAAAGATTTTCCTTAATTTGGAGTTAATTGGCTAATAAAATGTGGTTTAATTAAGATTAATAGAGTATTTTTTGTTGGAAATGTGAATTTCACAAATTGTTGACATGTTTTCAAAAGAAAAGATTTGTTAAAGAAGATATAAAGTATAGTATAATTTCTATTCGATTTTTAACAGCAAAATAATCAATGTTTAGTGAATTATAATCGAATAGAAATTGACTATGACATTTTTTAAAGGTTATTCTGAGTTTATGCAAACAAAAAATATGCACAATAAATATCATTGCATATAAAATGCAAAAAAGAAATTCTTAAAATTTTATTAAAGTATGTACTTTCATTCAAGTGCTTTCATTAATTACATCTTTTTTGCCATTCTTTGAGAATAATTACCACCGGTTTATGAGGCACCACCCATCTTCAATTCATTAATATGCACGCGTATTTAATCGAAAGTGAGATGAGCGAGTGAGATTAAGGTTCGTCGGTATGCAAAATAGAAACTAATTCAAAGTAGTGGTCATCCAAATGCATCTGATTCGAGTATTCGAGAGGGCGGGCCGGCGAAGAAGCTCCGCTTTAGCGCTTTGGTAGAGGGAAGAAGTGAACGCGAAGAGCCGGAGAGCCGCCGGTCCACGGTGCCTACAAATGTGCGTCCACTTTTAACGCTCGCTTCAAATACGCGCTAAGCGAGTTCTTCGCGGCATCGGGACGACGGATTCGTGTGTGCGCGAAGTGTGGTGATTAAAACATTTAGAAAGATGCAGCAAATTAAGGTAATATCAATATTAACAATACTTAACAACCCTTATTTTATTAATAAAAGTTTAGAGTTGAATTAAATGACAATATTTGCTTGATTATTCAATAGAATTAGTATTTTTGTTTCAATTGAATAGAAATAATGCAAAAATTTTATATTTTTTGATATTTTTTAAATTGTTTAATATTTTTTTCTATTTTTTTTTAATTTTTATCTTTTTATTGCCCTAATTCTTACTTTAATTCACTATAATTATTTAAACAAATAGCGCACAACCAACGTTTAACCACATCTATTAAGTTTAATTAAACTGCAATTATTTAGTTTCCATTCATAATAATTTAAATCTTTTAAAGTAATCACAGAGATTAAATCAATTTATTTTTATTTTTTACATTTTAAGCGAATATATATTAACCTATGATTATAAAAAGTCAACTCATTTGCGTTTTAATGCAATGTTTGATGTGCTATACTTACGTTCAAGTTCATTACTTACATCTTTCAAATTTCCCAGAGAAATTTAATACTTTTATTGTTTGCTTTGCGCAATTTTTTGCTGCTGAGGATACTTTTACTGACGCAAAACCGAATGCAATTACTGAATACAATGACGCGTTTAACTTTTTTGTCTGCGTCCGGTGCACATCCTGCTCTCCATTCGAAATTACTCGGAGATTGTTTACTGATCTTAAAGATTCAACATGAACAGAACAAAAATTCAATTCAACTCACACAGAACCTGCAAAAAAACGTTCTTTGTCTTCATCACATACGTGTTTATATATTTGACAAAACAAGCAACTTTGTTTTTGGTTGTTTGTACTGCTTTGTGATGTAATTCACTCTCGTTTTTAGTAAATCTGTTTCACTGTGCGCACTTTGTACTCATACAGTGGACAATGTGTGGAAATTTGTACAATATGTAAGTAAATGGTGGAATGGACGCGGAATATTAATGTGCTCGCGTTGCATCTCGCGAAGAATATGGAAGGAATGGGCAAGCGGATGGTTGTTTAGTTTCGGACCTGATTCCTGAATGCGAAGAGTGAAAGTAAACTCCAAACACGCGAAATATAATAAAATAACTGCAATCTTTCCGCGTTCAGATATTCGCACAAACATCACACATCCACGTACGAGTTAATCTATGCATGAATATACATCCACATAAATTTGTATAAAAAATATTTAAATTAACTTAAATGTCAGATAATTAAATAATAATTCGCATAAAATTAGCTTTTTAATAGTTTTAAACAATAAAAGACAGTTAAACTTGTAAAACGAATATTGAAGTGAAGTAAGAATTTGAGTTTGGAAAAAATCTAATCATAGAAAAGTGAAAGTGGTGCAAGAAACATGAATCAAGAAGCAATCTCTTGAGCTTTTATTCGTATCATCTCTGGCTGTACGAGACTTAGTGTATCATTTCACCTGCTCGACGACAAGCGTATTCTTCAATTTGTCCATTCGTTCAGTTGCACACAACTAACAACATTTGTTGCGTTTGAGACTTTGAATTCATTGAACGCACGCTTGTGGACTTTTAACTCATTGAAGCAGCACTTTAGAGAAGTTTATTTTTATTCGGCGATTAAAGATTCAACCATGCAGTACTTTAATAGTTTAACAAAAAGTTAATGATCCCAGATCGATGAACCATGAATTCAGAGATAAATTGACTTTGAAAATAATTTAATTAATGTGCTACATAAATCTTAAAACTTAAAACATGTTGAGTTTAATAAAGATTGTAATTTATGAAATTAATTATTTAGTTAGAAGCGCGGCACGAGGCATAATATTACTTACGACTAATTACGACTAATTGAGTACTCTCTCATGTTTTCATTAAGTAAACAAAAATCTCTTCTGTTTAATCTCTGCATACTTGGGAAAATTCTCGTTTCACACAATTGCAAAAACTAAAAATAAAATAAAATGAACGCTCAAGTTCCATTTCACATAACACAACAACAATTATTGTCATATAATTAGTAGTTAAGTGCTTGTAATTTTAATTTCCTCATCTACGGATTTTAATTAGCATGCTTTATTTTGTTTTTAGATGTCTTCTGTTTTCTTGGCATGCCTCCTGTTAATCTTCTTGGCAGGAGTTGAAGCAAAAGAAAAACAAATTAAATTAGAAGACATCGAACGCGATAATTTAGCTGCCGAACGTCATGCGAAATCTGCCAAGCAGCAATCAAGTATTCAAGGTCATCAAGGACATTTGCATTTGAATCAACAGCAAATAAGTTATCAACAGGGACATAATGTTCCGCAAGGAAATTATTATCTACCCAATTTGGTTAAAACCCATAGTTATCAAAATCATCCGATTCAACATCAACGTTATCAACATTATCAACAAGCTCAACAAATACCTGTTCAAAAGACACCTACGTCACCAAGAATGCAATATGGATTCGTACCATTAAAATCACAAACATACCAACAGTATAATCAACATCAACATCAACCAGTTGAACAACAAAGTCCACAAGTTCAATATCAATATGTTACTCCAAGTCACACTCATACACAAGCGTACCTTCCACCTATAACTCCTGGTAGACATTCTTCAGGTAATACTCAAGAAAGTTTGTCACCACCAAGAGTACAATATGCTGTACATCAACCAGAGGAAACTCCCCCACCATCGCCTTCTCATCAAAGATATGCGGTACCAATCCAGACTCAAGCATACCAGCAGTATATTCAAGGTCAAACGGGTCATACTGGTCATACAGGACAAACACAAATTCAGTATGTGCCTGAAAGTCAAGTTCAATACTATCAACAACAACCACAACCACAACCTCACCAACATCCCCAAATACAATACGTTGTTGATAATTCAATTCAACAACCAGATCCTCAACATACCCCCCAAGAAGAACAAAAATACTACCAGCAACTTGTCTATCTGCAACCTTATCAGACACCATCAGCCTCTAGCAATATTCATAGTGTTTCCGATACAAAAGGTAATGTGCAATATGTAATGTACATACCTTCAGGTGCTGCTCCTGCTGCCACCTATGCTACTGATACTGTCCTTGCATATCCTACTAACCAAGAAACACAATATGTCTACCAGCCTGTTTTGGATGAATCTCATGTTCCGAATATTCCTAATGAATCTACAGTAACTACAAAATCACAAGGTGTAGTACCACACACACAATCACCATCTAATTCAGGTGCTGCTGGCTTATTGCAATATGACACTATCAAAGGTCCAAAAAGATTTGAACGCCCTGTATTCAAACATCAACCAACTTCTCTGCTAGATTCATATGTGCCTTCTTATTTGCAATATCAATATTATAAACAACAGCAAGCCGAAACTGTAAACGCCATCAAGCAATCCCTGAAATTATCAACAAGCGATGTTGGTAAAACTGACGTTGTTAAAACTTACAAAGGTGAAACAAGTAATTATTAAAAGTATTAAATTGACCTTTCAATTTATTTGAATTAGTGTGAGTATTATTAAAGTCCAAAAAATAAGTGGAAGATGATGCAGATGTTGATCTTGATGTTGAAAGTATGTACATATGCAATAATTTTATGTTAATCAACTGCCAATTGTATTTTATAGACATTAGGTAAACGTATTCATAGTTGATAAGTTGATTGTTAAGTATTTGAGTGGAAATCTCGAAAAAGTTTCAAACTTCAAGAATTTTTCAAAACATTATGAATGTTGTAAACATTTTGGCCAGTTTTTTTACCATTAGTGATGTATGTTGTCATGAGTATGACATTTAATTATCTTTTTACATCATTAACTTACATATTGTGTTATTTTTTATAAGTATTACGAAGTGATTTGTTAAATAAACGTGTTTTTTGTAATAAAACTTATTTGAAACAATATTTATGTAATGAAAAATTGAAATTCTTGCCTAGTTGTCAAATTATGCACAAAATGGCTGGGTCTGTAAAACAACATAACCTTAACCAAAAAGCTTTTGTATTCTATTTTTTATATGGGTCCTAGGGTGGTCCTAAGCATTAAATCAATGATTTTTTGTTTGTTTAGTTTAAAATTTCTTGCATTCCAAAAGATTTATTTATTCGGACAAACAAATCATAACATTAGATGTCATTGTTTAATATTATGTGATTTGTACTGTCTATTTATCAGATGTCAACGCGTTTGGCATTTTATATTGACATTCTATAACCGCCTATAAATATGATACAGTAAAATTCAGAAAATAACTATTTTAAGAAATTTGTACATTTCCATAGACGTAATTCACCAAAAAAAAAGAATATTTATCACTACTAACCTATATCAATAGTTAAATCCATCAAAGTCATTCGAAAATATACCAAAAACACAAATTGCGTAGTAGTTTGAAGTATTTTATTGTGGTTACACTGTATATTTCAACTATATATGTTTGCTACTAAAGCTAAATCAACATTAGATGTGCCAGAATAAATATAGTGGCTTAAACGTAAGTTGTAACAACAACAAACAAAAAATACAACAGAAGAAAATCGACCATTGCTTAAAAGTACATTTTCCGTTTACATCCATAATTCCACAACCCGCTGTACTTCACCTCGATGAGTGGCGGATAAACATTCAACAAATCCTCACGTAAAACCTGTTAGAATTGCCACAAATTAACAACAATAACATAAATTCAAAATGAACGATATATTTTTTAAAACCGCCGAAATAATTGGAAATCTTCCCAGTAACTTCAGTGATAAACATCCGAAAATATTCAGGGGTTTATCCCTGACTAACATAGCAATAATAATCGGTATTTCAGTATATCCTGTTGTATGGTACATACACAACATTCTGAATTCAAATTATTCCGGAAATCAAATCGCAGATGTTGTCTTAGATACAATATCAAGTGCTTTGTATGGATCATTAGTGTTTCTTGGTCTGCTATACAAAAACATAATCTATATTAAATCATTTAAGAACATGAAGAGAAATTTTCAGGAAATCGATGTAATTTTTAAGCGTAAATTAGAAGCTAATTCGTTTGTTAAAGCAGCTATCTATATTATATCACACATGGTTTATCTCGGATATTCAATTTTTCGATACAAAGTTTATATGGCAAAGGATTACACAGTGATGTATTTTATAATGTCAAGTTGGATTACGTATAGCGCTGGTATTGATATACTGGTTGCCTGGAGAATGCTTGTCGATATGCAAATGCGTATAAAATTTTTGAATAAATTGATAACGCAGTTACATAAACCTTCTATAGTTAATGTTGTTACTACGACTATACCGAAAGGTGGTTGGCATATGAGAGATGAAAGGAATATTTTGGAATTGATTGAGATACACACTAGAATTGTGCAGGTTATACAGATATTTAACAAGCTTTATGGAGCGTGCATTATTTTACTGAACTTGAGGTTTATTATGGAGTCATTGTCAGTTGTCCTGCAGATTGTGGCTATTGATGTGGCAACAGATGAGATATTGTTTGACGTGCTCAGTGCTGGGTTTAATTTGGTAATTGTATATTAAGTATCAAGTGGCTAAACGAGGGTTTTAGTCATGAGATTTATAAAGAAGTAGTGTAGAGTGTTTAACAACGTTTAGCCACGTGATGCTTACGCTATTTTTTCTACTTCCACTCTATTTCCACGTTGAGATTTTTGTTCTTGAACTTTTGAATCTTAAATTCCTGAAATTTGCTTGTATACTACTGGGAAATGTAAAGCAAGCTTCACTCCGTGTCTAAAGTTCGTGACTAAAGTACTTCAGTTGATTAGTACTATTTTTAGTATCCCAAAATCGTGAAAAACCCGACGCTTTAAAAGTGGAAGTAAAAAATCTTTTTCTATTAAAATAATAAAAAAAAGGATTTTTAAACTTTGTGTTTTAGACATTATGGCTTGCTTTTGTTATCAACGCACAATATGTAATTGATGAAGGTAAATCTATGGTTTCCAATTGTGTGGAAGCCACGACTGTTTCATTAAGCATGTGTGGTTTTATTTCGGAAAACTGGAAAACTAATTTGAGTCATCTGACACAATGTGCTGTTATCCACATGCCGGAATTTACAGCAGCGAATTTTTATAGCGTTAACTTTGCAGCTATTTTTACAATTTTTAACATGATGACTGGGTATATTGTGGTTGTGGTTCAGTTTTCTGATAATAACTTACCCTAAATCATTTTTTGTTTTTTTTTTCTGCAAAATAGAAATGATAATCTTTTAGGATTGTAAGGCAAATAAAACTTGTTTTGAGTGTGGCGTATTCTTTATTGATGACTGATATAAAATTACACGTTTTTCATGCTAGAGATAATAAATATCTGTTATAATGCACTTGGAATTATAGAACTATATTTGTATTATGCAAAAATAACACTATCTACTCATAAAACCTGTGATTTACCAAACATGTTATGATTTGTATAATAAAGGAGTGTAGATGAAATAATTATTCAATTTTCCTTGTTTATTTAATTTTTAAACTTAATTGTATAGAGAATATCCCGTAGATTAAGAATCTTCAATCCGTTTCTCCCTATCACTTTTAGTTTCCATGATAATCACAATTAAAATATCAAGAAAATTGCAAACATTCTGTTACCAATTTCAACATTTTATTCATTATTAATTTACCTTTTTTTGTTCATTAGAAGATTGTAAAACAACTACGATATATCCAATAATAATATTAAACATTGTGAATATTGTTGCATGATTAACACTATACAAATTAGCAGCTGTGAATTCAGGCACGTTTAAACTAGCACATTGCACAAAATGCTCCAGATATTTACTTATTTTATCCGGAATAACATCTGATAAACTTATAGCAATTGTTAAAGCTTCAACACAATTAGTAACCAATAATTTCCCTTCGTTAATTACACCCTGAGCATTAACGATAAAAACAAGCCACATTACTAAATCAGCCGCAACTTCAACCATTGTGACATAAATTGATCTTGATTCCATTCCTGTTGTAACCAAGCGTAGGACAAGTTCTAAAATCTCAAGTATAAAAGTCAAATTTGCGAGTAAAATTGTTATTCCATAGAGTTTGTTAAAGATGTGAATAATGCGGACAATTCTAGTATGTACTTCAATTAAATCAAGAACATTCTGAGCGTCCCCAAGACGCCATTTTCTTGAATTTAAACTTTGATTAGGTTCATTTACAATTGCTTTTTGATATATTTCCAGTAATAATTTATTTACAATTTTCATACGCATTTGTAAATCGTTAAGTATTCTGTGTACCACTATTATTTCCATATCTGAAGTGTAATCCAACAAGACAAATATTATAGTATTTATAGTTATATAAGAATTATTAGAAGTTATTGCGTTACGAAATGTAACAAAAACCAAATAAAATGTATGAAAAATAAAAAATTTCAGTAGCTGAACAGAGAATTTTTGTTTTTTTAGTTGTAAAATATTATCTATTTCACCAAAAGCAATTTTCATGTGCCTATAATGTTTTATAAATATAAAATTTTTAAAACTCAGTGGTATTATGTAAAACAACCATGAACAAGTGTCTATTAGGATACCAAATACAGCAAAAGAAAATTCACGTCCAGAGGATTTAAAATTTGCCAAATCTTGCATACTGAGAATCATAATAGATGCAAAATTTCCAGTTGTTATTAAAATATATACAATTGGTATAATTTTGTGATAAATTGCACTTTTAGTGTTTGATGTTTTAGGTAATATTCCAATTATTTCAGCGGTTTTAAAAAATATGTCGTTCATGTTGAAGTTTTCGATAAAATCTGCTGATATTTGTTTGAATTTTCACTATATTTATATTAAAAATTAACTGGAACGACATACAAATTATATATAATTAAAATATTATAATGAAAGCTGATAAAGTGTCATATTCGGATTTCAATAGCATAATAATAGTATAAAGTTTGATTTAATTGAATATTTAATAATAAAATATTAAGTATCAAATGGCTAAACGTGAGTTTTTGTCCCTAGATTGATAAAGTACTTTAGTCACGTCTTTGGTCGTCCATACCACTTTTTACGTTTTAAAACCGCAGAAAAAAGTGGCGATTTAAAAGTGAAAGTAGAAAAACATTTTAATTTTATGTTTTACGTCAACTTTAGATAAAACAAGAATTTAACTGCAACTATCTTTAGAAAACTGCACAACAACCACAATATACCCAGTCATCATATTAAAAATCGTAAAAATTGCACCAAAATTAACATCGTAAAAGTTAGCGGCTGTAAACTCGGGTCTTTGCAAAATAACACACTGTGTAAAATGACTCATAAGCATCTTCCATTCTTCCGACGAATAACTAAACACACTTAACGACGCAGTGATTGCTTGCATGCAATTAGCCACCATCATTTTTCCTTGATTTATTATCGCTTGTGAGATAAACACAAATCCAATCCAAAGCACCTAAAAATACAAAAATTAAAAAAAAACATTCACTTTTTTATAAACACAACATACCATACTAAATGCAGCATAAAAGAAATCAAAAATAATAGCGTAAATATCATGTGGTTCCTTCGAAACCACACGTGATACCACCGATAAAAAGTCGATGACATATGTAAAGTTGAGGATTAAAATACGCGTGCCATAGAGTCTATTGAAGATGTGAATGATTTTTATAATTTTCGTATGTACTTCAATCAAGTCATAAACTTTACGCTCGTTTCTCAAGCGCTGATTTGTTTTGTTGATCGCTGAATTTACAATCATGCTGGTAATTATTCTGTTTAAATACTTTAAACGATTTCGCACGTCATTTAATATGTTGTAGGCAACTACAATGTCAATGACCGAAACATAGTCTAACCAAAACCCAAGTAAATAAAATATTATTGTAAAATCGTTTGATATAATCCGTGTGTATCTATAAATTTCATATGCAAAATAAAACGCATGAAATATTACATACTTCGTAATAATTCTCAATAATTTATTTGGTTTTGGCTGTAGAATATTATCAATTTCTCGAAAAGTTATCTTCATAATTTTGTATTGTTTGATATACAAAATGTGATTAATTAGTAATGCGGAGATTACGAAAATTCCAAATAAAACAAACGTTGTCATTGCTAGCATAATTCTTGAGAATTCACGTCCCGGTGGTGGAGAATTGATTGATTCATTGAGAGAAGCGATGACCCAATAGAAATATATTGCGCATATTAATAAAATGTAGAAAATGTAGAAACATCTGTGAAGGATTGGATGTTTATCACTAAAAGAACTCGGAATTATGCCAACAATTTCACCAGTTTTAATATATATGTTATTCATATTTTCTTTTCCAAAATTTCAATGCACATGACTCTAATAGTGCTCGCTTAATAGTCAAACTTTTATTAATACTTTGCCTAGCAAAATAAGTATATTTTAAAACTAAATATTTTATATAAACAATTTATCTACGTCAATTTGGTTCATAATAGATATATAATATTAGTTTCGATAATATCTAATTAATTTTTAATTTACAATATTGATTTTTAAGATATTTATTAGAGTTTTGTATCCCGCTTTGTACAGTATTTGTACAATCTGTGTTATTAGTCTAAATTATTTAGATAACTGCATGTAGGTCCCATTTTTTAAAGCACGCTCCAAAAAAATCAATTATTAATACCTAACAACAAGTAAATTGGTATAACGCAGATAAAAATAAACCAATTTGAAGAAAAATATTTATTTAATTCTAACAACCATTGAAAAAAAGTAAAAATACGCGCTTTGATTTTAGCGAAAGTATTTTTTTGGCAGAGCTTATTTCATTCATCTGTATATTGAGTTGCCTATAAACACATTCATGTAAAGCTTTTATTGAGCACATCTAGCAATACAATCTACTTTCTACAACTACGAGTTTATTGATCGACTGCGCCGGCACAATGTTTTAAACTTGCCTACATCATAAAGCAATGTTAGATTTAATATTATCAACTGTTATAACATTGAGCATGGAATAAAATTCTTTCCAGAGTGTCAGATGTATCTGAAATTTAATCAACAGACAAAGCTCATTCGCGAATTGATCTGTTGAACCCAACAAAAACGGCAAGAAAATTATGTCACGGTCTCGACGTCGGCATAAACTAATAACTCATTTACTTATCATTTGTCTTAATGATTTACACACTCATAGTGACATGAATCCTTATTTTAATATATTTACTGACATTATTTCAAAGTGCTAAAAGTTGAATGCGTTATCTGCGCATGTGCATCAAAGAGGGAATGACAGAGCTTTCAATTTCAACCCCTAAAATATTCTAACCCTATTATGAAGTACGAGTGAAAGCGGTTTTTAGGAAAAATGAAGTGATAAATATGAAATTGATACAAAAATTAATTCATTTGTGCAATTTCTAACACCATTCTTGGAAAACCAGGAAATCATTAAAGAATTTGTAAAATCTGAAACACATGTAAGTACTCACATGATATACGTGTCATAATATATACTACTAATGCATATTTTATTCATGTTAATCCATAAAAAGCACATAAAGCGTGCATGATGCATGTGTTACCATCACATCCTGTGTGCTGCACTCTCTCCGATATTGTCACATGTCGTGATTCCGGCAGTGTAACCTTTGAATTTGTTTCAAGCAATGCACGGATGACTAACACCGCACAAACTGATTCAATATGCGGACATATGTCGATGAATGTGTGTGTTATTAATAACTATTTTCCGGACTCGTGCAGTGGCGCACGTGTGCATCCAACTTATCTATCGGCCAGTTATGGCTTTGAACTGAGGCTGTCGTGGCGCGAGGTTCTGAATCGGAATTGCGTCGTTTTGCGAAGGAGAAGGACGTGACACAGCAAATCAGTACGCATCAGTGATTCACGGAGATACCAGACATGCTAAAAAACAGCTAGCAATTGTTTGACGTCTGTATACTTGGTTGCTGTTGTGGGAAATTGGAATATTAGAACGTGACATGAATGCATTTCGGAAATGGTGCTAAAACCGTCAAGTTACACCTACTTATTCATGTTTACAACAAAAGTTTGCAAAATCCTTCGAAACATTCGTAGACATCATTTCCATGACCTCTGACTAGAAATTCTCACTTAATTATAATTTGTTATCTGATACATCTAGCATTAGTAATTAATAAATTGATTAAGTGGTAGTTCAGCTATGTTAGATAAAAGTTATATTTATTAAAGTTAGACACGTGTCGCCAAACACGTAATTATTTATATTTTTCGAATTTTACGAATAGTTTATGAATGTGCGCAAATTATTTCGCAAGTAAACAAAAAACAAATCAAAATTTATTAAGATTGTCCATCAAAATAATTGATGACGTATTTGATTGAAAACACTACTAAATTATTCAACTTACTCAACAATGCAGCACATATTTACAATTTATTTGCAATGAATACGCACACGTAATTACAATCTGTTTACAACGTGTAAATCAGCTTAAATAAATTGACAATTGACCAGTAATTTATTTAAATTCAACATATTTGTCAAATTATAATTTGTTTATGAAAATGATGAAAGAAAAAAACTTCCACTACTGCGTCAAATTACTATCATGATCGTGACTTTCATTTCATTTCAGAATGAATGAAATTATTCACACTTTATTCATTGTAAAACTTAAAATCTTACAATTTAAGTCTTGTTAAGGTTATATTTCGAGGTATTTCGTAACATAACATTGCAATACGGGTTGCATACAATTGTAATGCATATTGCAACACACACCTAACCTAATCTTGACTTTAATCTTAATATGAAGTAAAAAATATAAGAATATATCATTTTTTATAATTTTGGCAAGTCATATCTTTCACAATATTTTATGAATGAGAATTATGGGTCAAGTTTATTCGAAACCGAAGCGTTCACTACACTTCTTAGTCCAGATGACTAATTAATATAAATTAAGAGACGCACAAATTCAAATTTAATACTTAATACTTAGTTTGGTAAAAGTTTAAAAGTTTACCACTTTAAACATAAACGTTAAAGGTTTAAAGTGTTGCAATACCAATCAAAAGTTTAAAGTATACAACCATCAATCGTCGTTAAACTACATTAAGTTTAAGTAAACTTAAAATCTTTGATCGCTATCATGAATCAATTCCACAATCGCAGTTTATTTATATTTATAGCGTCACGATTTACGCGTAAATGAATCTCTTGTTTTATTTTTATTAATCACATTTAATAGAGGCGTGCTTTTTATTAGATTAATGTGTATCTAACAAAAATTTCGTAACTCTAAATTTAATTTATTTACTAGCTTAAACTTGAACGTTGGAACGAATACGTTCCACACGCTTGCACAATATACGTTTATGAATCAGAATCATTTGCGTTATTAGCGATTTTAACTGTGCCACAAGTGCACGAGTGCATCGCATGTCAAAGCAATTAATAATGAAATCGAGCGTGAACTTGATTTGCATTTATCTATTTTGTAAGTGATTTATTCACTTTTATTTCACCAATCAGGCAATTTGGAAGAATAAATTAATTACAAATTAGTGTAATAATATATTATTTTGGATCATAACTTATACTTTTATTTTTTTGATCAAATTAAAAATATCTAGTGGCTTAATTTATGCATTTGACAATTTAATTTGATTATTGTCCAACTTTTTACGTAAATAACATTGTAGTTATAAAATTAATTGACTTTTTAATTTGTAGTTTGTTAATTTTAATGATACCCAATAGAATATTGCATAATCCATGTTTAAAGTGATATTTTTAAACACGCAAAGTTGACTTTTCTAAATTTTTATCAAAATGGTAAAAAAGTTTAAAGTCACAAAGCAAAAAATAAAATTTATATAAAGTACCTAATTATATAACGTTAACTGACCCTACGTGGTTTAATTTTTAACTAAATTGTATTTTTACAATGTTGTAATAAAAAGTTATCTTAGACCACATCGGAAATTTAAAAAAACGTGTGCGTTGTGATCAAATTATTAAGTAACTTTGTTGTTTTCCTAAAAAATGAAGACTTAAAACATTTTACGTCTTATTTTATTGTAATTTCAATTTGTATAAACTGACAATTAAATTGATAAAATATTCCAGGGTATATGTTAATTTAATTTCGTGTAGCGCTTGATCCAGCACGAATAATGACCCTAAAAACCGGTCGACTTAAATTTTAACCATACCTTTATACACGTTTAAACCGAAACTTCTTGGCATGCGACATACCACGCAATACTCGAAGCGAACATGCACGTCATTAAAATAAAACCAAAAATTAGAAGTTGGAAATTTCCACGATTAATTTTTTAAACTTTGATCCGTGGAAATTTTGCGGTAGTCAATCATGAACGTGATAAAAGACACATTAGGCATTTAAAAATTTCAAAAAACTATTTTTTCAATATAAAAATACAAAAAAGAACTCGAGGCAGTAAAAACCCTAAAATAATTTTCTTTAAATGGTACTTTAATGTTTCTTGTTTAATTACATGGGTGTGTTATCCCAAAAAACAGGTAATTTATTTGTTTGATTGATTCTTGCAAAACTATTTATAACAACATGTTTCTTAAAACTAAAAAAAACAAACTTAAATTAACTAGTTTACTAGTAAACCAACGTAAATTATAAAACACGTTGAACAACTGTTACTACGAAGCAAGAAGAAAGCATTTCTCTTGCGTTTCTTGCATTTCTTGCATTATAAGAGTACTTGAACTTCTTCACAACTCTCTTCAATCTCGCACTCCGATTGGTTCTTCTCCATTCTCTTGCAACTGGTTTGCGGTTAGCAGGTTGCAATAATCTTGGTGTTCGAAACGCAAGAAATTTTGTTCTTAGTTCAATTTACTGAATCACTACCGAAACGCCAATTATAATTTAAATTTTAGCACTATAGTTGAGTCATGCCATGCGTGAAATGAACAATGCACTTGCAATTGTGCAATTTTTTGTAGTGAAAGAAGAAAGGAACTATGTACATACATAGTAAATTGCAGTTTGCACTTTTGTTTCACATTTCCGATGTTTAAACAGTGTATTTATCATTTCAACGAGTTGCTTTCTTTTATTGTGCATTGATGTGTCATACTTGTATTGCCAAAATGGCAATCATGATGTCATAATTTAATAAATTATTAGTGATTCAGTTAGAATAAATCGCATTGAATTTCAATGCCAACGGGTGAAATAGGCCAAACTGTTGGGCGTTATCACTGGTTGAGTTTTGCTTCTTTATTGATTTCTCATACTTACGTCAATTAAACGCGATTACCAAAAACTAGTTTGTACAAATATGTGTATAAACTTTTGTTATATTATTCCACTATGTTTACGTCTAGTTTGGACACTATTTGACTACTGATTTGACGAGTTATCAACAATATTCTATAATGTTCCATAAAATTCCTTGGCATAGTGTTTGATAACGTAATTATTAGTAGAAGTTGTAAAAATATTAAGTATGCGTCATCAAAACAATTTTTACTGATTAGCCATGAGGTAAGGTTATGTTATGTTAAAATGTTTATGTTTCAAAATAAAAATTTTGATTTTTTCAAATATTTTGTTTTGAAAAACTATTTTATTGATATTTCAAGTTTATTTTTTGATATTTTATCGTTTTGTGTGCCTTGACGACCTGGAAAGTGCACATAAAATTTCTTCTCTATGACTGTGGGTAACTGTGTTAACCGCTCGCCGTTTTACGTCGATCATAATTAAAACAATTTTTATGCACTGCAAACACATGCATTAAAGATCATGCATCATTAATGAATGCATACAGAAAACGAGAAATTATTACACCTTTACTTCAGTGTCTACCAACAATTCCTGCAATAAATCTTAAACGCAAACAACGCACAGTTTGCGAATCGCTGGCATATCTTTAATTTAAAGTTACATAGTGAGAGTATGCGTATGAATGTGCACATCGCCGTTAGTTCCAAGCGGGAAAACGGCAAAACGACAACTGCAGCATAATTTGTACAACAAGCACAATAAGAAGTAGGCAGTAGTGAACGGTCACCCCGCATGTCACACATTTGCCGTCTTATTATCGCCAATCGGCATTATACAACAACTTGCGATGCAATTATTAAAGCGCTCAATAAGATGAAGTCACGTTGCTTTGTTATACTCGCACTATTGATAATAAATGAATGTAAATATTCAGTTATTGCAACATCGGCACGTACGGCGCACAATCGAACTCATTAATTTGTTTATATTCTAGAGTTTAATAATGTGGGACACATTTTTAACGTTTTATTTATTTTTTACATTTTGCAGTTTATTTACGCTGTAAAAATAGAAATTCTAAAGGAAATAGAGTAACTTTAACTTAAGTTGTAATTACTTCTTATTTGCCGCTATAACATGTTTTCATGTTGATAATTTTCACCTAATAATATACAGACTTTGAAACATTTGCCTAAATTATGTGTTCCGGCAACTTTTGCGCGCATTAAATGAAAGTATTTGATACTAAATTAAAACGTAATTATTAAACCTGTTGAGTGGTCGCAAATTGTCATAAATTGCGATAATGATATAGAAGAAGTGCACATTTTTGTCGAAATTATGGTGATTAACGGGCAATAGCGACAAGTATGTTACGTAATAACTAGTTGCATTGTAGATTGCGCATCGTGATAATAACATACCGGTATGTGACTATTTTTGTGCAAATCATGATAAGATAAATACACATAATCATATTTTTACTATTGCTTGTGCATTACATTTATTTATTTAAACAATAGTAATCATTTAACAAGATAATGCACTAAACTTTCCACTTTAAACTTTTGTAGATATAATTGATTCGATTGATGATGCACAATGGAATCGTGAATCAATTTTTAACTGGTAATCAATAATAACTATTTGATAAGACGTGATAAACACGTTTATTTCTTTTTTATTTTTCGTTTTGTGTACACACGCGAGGAATGTAAGACAAAAACAATATAATAACATAATAATAAAATTAAATGTCTGCGATTCTTAAAATTCATTAATATGGCTTAAAAATTAATTTGAAAACTTTTCCACCCTTGATTTGTGATAGGAAAAGTTTTGTTTCGATCGTGGAATCATTAATTTTTTGTTATTGAATCATTTTGGGCGAATTTGGTTCATATTCATAAAAATATGCTAATATATTAATATTAACTTGTATTCGGTCAAGTTTTACGGTGTTAACAACCATAAAATGCGTTTTAAATCGTAACCTTGATTTAAAACATAAATTTTCATAATTTTTATCTCAGGAAAAATTAATTTTAAGATAATACTTTATTAGTTTAATTTAAAGTTTAAAATAATATTTTTTATGTTTGTACACACGTGTACTATTAAAATTATGCTAAAATAATGCATTTTATTGTAGGAACAAATTACTTCTCGCGTCTGACATCCGTCGAGTCTTCTGCCCGCACAATAAACGCACTTTTAAGTCGTGCGAATGACGCGCGCACGGTGCACATGCAGCTTAACATGCGCGTTTTCTCCGTCGGCGGCGGCGGCGTCACAATTATCCAAGTATAAAACAATTTAGTGCTTTAGACGTATGCATTCAGTCCCCGCGAGCTGAGCGCAATCACAATCCCGCCGCGCGCGCCGCCATCGCCACCGTTCGTCGAGGAAAGCGCGCCCGCATTCGCACGATCGCAGCGCGCCGAAGCGCTCGACTTAAACTTTTACTCAGCAAGTTCAATTTGACTCAATTCAAACTGTGCGCGTTAATAAAAAAGTGTTCAGATAATTGCGAACAATGGGAAAATTTGCTACTTGATTAACTATTTAATTGATTAATAAACTAATAACTACATCCGTTTGACACTTTAAACTTTATACAGTTCGAGTTGATTGTTTATATCAGTTGGTCTAAATACGCTTGCGTTTATAAATAACCCGCGTGTGGCTGCTATTTTCGCACGAAAATGACGACCAAGGAGGATTTTGTAAATAAAGGCGGCAGTCCGCTGAATTGCTGCCAGAGTAATGACTCGCTGACGTCGACGTCCACCGATCAAGACGACGCCATCAAAATCTGCGAGGCAATGAATAACTTTGTCATCTCGCCGAAGCGTAAACCATCGATGAATAACCGCATCAAGAAAACTTTCCCCAAGCGCCCGCCGGTGGATCTCAAGTTCGAAGACATCACCTACACTTCCACCGAGTGGAAGTTCAAGAAATGGATCACTAGAGGTGAGTTTTACAACGCCCGCTAGATGTCACTAGTTTTATTCGACATAATCATAACCTCAACGTTACACTATTATGAATTGTGTTAAAAATAATGTTACATTTGTTTAAATAGTTAATAATTATATACACAGCAGAAATGTGTTTGTTGAGTGATTAATTCGTAATAATCATCACGTGGAAAACATGTTATCGCGTATTATCGCGGTCTGCGCGCTTTGCAGTACGAAGTGTTTTTGTTGTTACCACGCATCGTGCATTATTCTCAATAATTTTACTCATAAACTCAGCGAGCAAACGGTTTTAACATGAGTTACTATAATTGCACACTGATAAGAACACTATTTTTATGGTTGAAATATACACGCCTTGGGTTGTGTTGCAGTAAAATAAAAAACTGACATTAGGAAAGGTGAAATAATTATTTGCCAAAAAATATTAGAATAATTATTGTTTTAAAAATTAATGGTGCGAATGCGTAATAATAATGCATTTTATTTTATTTTTGGTTTAAAAAATGACCCAGTTTTAAAATTGCAAATACATAATTTCATGTACGCTATAATGTTTCAAAATTTTATTTGCAAAAATAGAAATAATATGCAATTTAAAGTAATTTGGACAAATATATAAGTAACAACACTTGAAATATGCAATAAATTGCATTGTGTCAATTAACTTTAAAATTTATTTCAACACAAATGTTATTTATGGATCTAAATTTATAAATAGACAAATATATCCTTCTTAAAATTAGTATCAATTGATTCCTAGTTTTTTTTTTCTCGTCTCATTAATTCAGACATTTTTTTCATTTTTAAATTGTAAAACCAATATAAAGAAGCACATTGTCAAGATATTTTGCTTTCAATAATTTAAACTCTACTATTAATCAATACACGTTAACAAGGTTATCTTAAGAATGAATTTTGTTTTTTATATTTTTATTTTATTCATCCAACAATCTTTTCCTCATTCACTGCAGAACCATTCCGAAGAAAAAACTTGTTTCATTAGGAAATACTCCAATCAGTTAATTTATCAATTTATTGAACTAGGAACTAGCCAAAAGAAACGTTTTCCGCATTTGTCACAGTGGAATTGTATTAAAATATAAATTGGACTGATTGATTCTCATTTTTAAATTATTAGTATTATTAATCTAGCAGTCAACTCCAAAGTCCAAATAATTTAAAGTATAATTTTTGATAGGTTACAAATGGATGAAAGATAGAACTAATGAATTAATGGACGATACTAATTCGTAGTCAATGGTCGTAACATTGACATTCGATAAATGTCTAACAAAAAAACTGTTTACTTATCGGGTTTGACTGACCTGACTGAACTTAATTTCGATTAGTTTTATAGTTGCGAATATTTGCAAAGTCGTTAAACTAGTTTTGAATTCTTGGGCCCAAAATTTAGCCTATCAAAGTTTAGATATAAATCATTAACTAATCTTAACCTCATTTTTTATTAGTAGAAAATTTGACAGGTGTTAAATATATATTTTGAATAAAATTTAGGAGAAAATTGCAAAAAATTATGATAAAATAAATATGTTTTATTTTTTTCTTAGAATTTTGGTATTTTGATATTTTTTGTTGTTTAAAATTATATTCCTAGAAATATACATGAAAATTTAAGAGCATATTTATTTCGCTAAATATTTATGTAAAAATTACATAAAAGAAAAAATTGAAAAATTTACTATATTTAGCGAGAATTTTGGTAATTTTATACTTTTAATGTAAAAAATTATGTTCTTAAAAATATACATGAAAAACATAATACACTTCGACCTAAAACACACAAAATGCATAAATAAATTAAAAAGTAGAACAAACGTGTATCAAGGTTAAGCGTTTCCGATTCGGTTGCATCACTCTCGTTTTCGGGCATAATTCACAATGATTTCGGCTCCTAAAACATAAAAAATAAAAACGCTTGTACTTAGCTCGAAACGAGTTGCAACATTTGTTTGTTTCATAAAAAAAAATTCGTACATTGCACTCTGTAATAAACTATCTGTTTATGATGCGAAATATAGAATTAACGTCAACGAAACAAGGTTAAAACGTTTCTAAATCGCCAATCAACAAAACGAAATTAATTCGCAAAAACATATATTTACAAATATTTATAGTGTCGAGATCTTTTATTGTTCGTAGATGTAAGAGTCACATTATGCACATCGAGTACATTTGAATATCGAATATCTGAATAAGTGAATATTGATGAGTTGTTGATGACGATCGGATCTGATCGCGGTGTGCACAAACCGTATCGTGTTGCATTAAGCCGCCATTAGACGCGCGCACAAAAGCAAATGAATTATGCATCGTTCACCTACAATAATGCAAATCGTATTCCTCACACCGTGCGCCAAACAGTACATCAGAGCGGAGGAGGAATACGCAACGAAAGAGGAAGTTGAGCGCGTCGTGAGTGTCATGAATGATGTCCATCATCACAGCGGCGCCGACACGCCGGACAAATTTAATAGAGGCACGTTTCAGACTTGTTTAACTATGCGTAAATATGCCTAAACAAAATTTGGTAATCGAAAATATTATAATTAATTCTCAGTGGGAGGTAATCGTGGATAAAGCGCAGTATTCAACGCAAAGATTATGTCATGAATGTTGGTGAGGTAGTATAATTTATTGCTATCTAGAACAATTCATAACAAGTGACTTTCACTCAAGGTTATAAGAGAACAACACAATAACAAACAATCCACGTGTCTTAAGCATGTGACTTGCAGAATTCTCGTTAACAATTAATTTATTTCTTAAGATCTGATGTAATAACTGTTTCAACTTCATATCTTTGTATTAAAATCTCATAAATTAAGTTAAATGATAGTTTATTTATAATAAAGAACTTACTGTGCATTTTTTGCATTGTTTTGCGTTAATTTTTGAGACATTTTACAATCTTATACAATACAACAAACAATACAATTACTAATTGTTATTCTGAGAAGTTATTTAGTTAAAATTATTTCTTACTTTTTAGTTATATAAATTTTTTCATTATTATCTTAATTTTGCAAATAATAAACGATTATTTTCAAAATGCAATTTATATTACATTAGATTGCTGCGTGGATCATGATGCGTTGTGATTGGAACTGACACCGGAAGTGAAAGTAATACTATGCTTTCTTTTAGTGAACGATTACAAAAATTTGCGTTTTTTTTATTATAAAACTCACCAGACTAATATTGCAACATAGATAACATTTATGATAAAATATATTAAGTATAATTTTATGCTCTAGACGTTTGTTTACAATTTTTAATTTCTAACAGGTTTAAGTTCAAAACAAGGAAATTCTGATTAAACACGTTTGCATTCAGGTACAATAAATTAGAAGTCGTCTAGTGATGGGGATTTAAGTGAAAGTTGTTGTTTTTTATTATTAAAACATTCCATCTAAATTCTAAACACGAATCTTTCTCTCTCAAGGTTTTATCTTTTATATTCGTCTCATTGCGTTACATAAAACGGATGGAATATGTTTATGGTCAAAGTCAATTTCTAGCGCAGTATTATTCATAATTAATTTTAATTCATTCCAAAGAAAGTGAAATGCGAAATAAAAATATTAATATATTATCATATTACCTAATAAAATTTTGCAGTGTTTAAAGTTATACTTTTACACATTCGTGTTTAAAAATATTATTTTATACATTATGATTTTAAAATTGTGTTTCCTGCATGTTTAGTACGTTATAAAATCTTCTAACCATTGAAAGTTGTATTTAATCAGCAAACGGAAGTGATGATCACGTCGAATGAATACATCATCCATCTTTAAACACTCACCATTGCGTGAAAATGCCAACAACCAAGTGTGTTTTGACGCTGTGTTTGGTGCAAACTGCAATCTCGTTGACTCTCGTCCTCTCGATCGAGGATGCTTCTGATAATAGCCATTGTGCAAACGAAGCCGAACAAAAACAGCGCACGCGGAAAAACTAAATTGCATAATATCCTTGTATCCCGCATCACATCGAGTGCGTTTTCAAACGTTAAACATTACCAAACACTTGACGCTGATGATAAACGTTTGAAAATGCATTCGATGATCACAAAAACACTCAGATAAATCATAATCATAAGTATTTGCTAATTTTGAAATCCTGCAAAAATATTGACTGATCATTACAAAGAAAAACATTTTTCTTACTCAAATTGGATTTTCATTTGGTGGTAATTAATCGAAAGCCAAGTTAATTTTGCAAATTCCAGTTGTAAGAAAACATCGCTTTCACTCGCTCGTCGCTTGTTAACGATTTGCTCATTACCAGTAATTACTATCAGTGCAAAACACTCGCGGGCTAGTTCACCAATGCGATGACCTATGATAACAACATTGTTTAAATTTTTGGCACACGTGTGTGCCAAATTGATATTAAATATTACGCAATTCATAAATATATACCAAAAATATTTTGATTTATTCAAAATTTTACACACTAGTGCGCAAAAGTACGATTTTTTGCATTCCTATCCCCAAAATACCTAATTTTAATAATTTCACATCTAAGCTTATAAATATCTTAATCAATCAATTTAAATTTTTATAACCTATGATTATAATAATAATAATAAACTAGTTTCGGCCAAAAAACGATCAGTCAATAAAGTTACCTAATATTCAGCGTTAGCAATCACCTCATATCTGACATTAAACGTGTACGAACTATCCAATCGATTTTTTAGGCACTATAAATTCATTTAGCGTATACCGTCTACAAAATCGATTTGAATGTCAAGGTTACACAGCGTTTTGTCGTGAATGTGTAACGATTTGAACCACGTTGACAAAGCCGCTGCATATCGATTGATTTCAGCGGAAACGCCGATGGATCATTCGCTCATTTACTATATGAGTAAGATTAATGCATTCTACAAGTTGTCATTTCATAATGATTCATTAACTTATTTCTGATTGTCTGCGAATCGATTTTACTTGTGCGGAATTAATTTAATCGACCTATTACGATTACGATTATTTGAATGTCAATTATTATTTAAATTCATATCCTTTGGAGTAATAATATTTACGTATAGTTATGTTTTAATTTAAGCATTTTGCTTTTTTATAGTTTTAAATTGCATAATTCGTAACAATTAATAGTGTGATTGCGTTAAGAGCATCTATTTGAGGCTAGACGTATTATTAAAATTGTTTTTCTGTGATTTTACGCAAATAACAACATTTGTGGTTCAGATTTTCGTGTCAAAAGTTAAATTTCATATACTAATTCCTAAAAATAATACCTTTAAATTGCACATGCAGAAAAAAACAGCAAAAACAAACAATTTAGCCAAAAATAACCTAAAAATGTATATATTTGGTTATATTAAAGCAATATTTTATGCACAATTACAAAATATTGTTTATTTTAGTAATTTATAAGAGAAACAATCAAAAACAATTGTTGTAAACTAAAATTTGCCAACAAATTCTTATTTTGCACACTTAATATCCAATATTAAACGCATTCTTAGTTTTATTACGAGTAAATAATTACAGGTCTGAGTACATGCTGTAAAAACGCTATATTATAAATGCACGTCGAATGAATATCGATTGAATATTTATCGGTTTTTATTGTTCGCTTGTGCCAGTTACCCTTGCACTTGCATTAACAAAGTGCAAGTGCCCGCGTACTCTCCATACAATCGCCTCAATAAAAGTTAAATGTTAACTATATTTTTATCCGTATGTATACGTGCGAGTTCGATTGACCGCTTCTGTGCTTAGCAAATAAGTAATTGGTTTTTTTACGAGCCACAAACGGTTGACCCATGCGAGAGAATGACGCGGTTGACAGACATTTTGTAGGATGGGCACGCCATTAACCGCACAATAACAATAACACTGTAACAAACAATGCAAAATGCTACCTACAATGCAATATTTTAATATGGAAGTTAGGTGTGAGCACAAACAATGCATCTGTCAACAATTGGTGCTATAAATTAATGAAACAATGACAAATCGAAACGTTTTTAAATTTTTAATTTTGGATTGGGAATTTTTTTTAATTAAAGTTTTTATTGTTACATTTTTAAATTTAACAGAAATTATTTTGTAATAATGAGTGAATTTACATTATATAATTTGATTGTAAATCATTATTCGCAATTATGCTATTGAAGTAGCAGGTTTTTATGTTAAAAATTATTAATTTTGTTCAAATGATTTGTTACCAACTAATAACTCCTACCTCAATAATTTAAGCATTGCTTTTTTTATTACAAATGATTAAGCATTCAAAATTTATTGATGAATTTTTTTAATTTCCGTTAGTTAATTATTAAAACCAGTTTAAACTGCTTTAATTAATATTAATACCAAATAAAAACGACATTTAATTCTCAGATTCTAAACGAGATTTTAGCCGATATACGTGTACAAATCATCATCAGATATGCAATTAATTAATTTGTTTGTTTCAAGTCAAAATTCAAAATAACTTGTAAATTGTAAATAAAAACTTACTTTAATTAAATATCAACAATAATATTTGGATAAATATATAAATCTTATGATTATTATAAATAACATGAAAAATAAAAAGATTTTTGCGTCAAAGGATCGCACTCAGGACTTATACCGCAACTCAAACTTATATTTCGTTTAATATTGCAAGAAAACCGTCTACGTCAATAAAATACTGACGAATAATACTGAATAAATATTAACGACCAGGAACAAACTATCTAATGAGAATTAATGATTTTATTGGACAATACTCTATCTGTTAAAATTTTTTTGCAAGCAAAAAGTTTATTAAACTACGTCAATCGAAATTATATAACCTTAAAATGTAATTATTGTATTATCACTTTTTAGTGTTACAATAAATGTTATAAAACATAAGTACTCATCATCATTAGTATTTATCATAGCAAATGATACCAAAAAAAACAGCAAAAACATTGCAGAAGTCGCGAAAAAAGTTCTAATTTTTCTTGATTTATCAACCATGACATCCATAACGACCTTCAACTAAACCCAAATTAAGATAGGTACTAATCAACTACGCAGAATAATACTTTTTATATTAATTTGTGTCTATTGCATTTTTTTCTCGCAATAAAGTGTAATAAAACGTAGTTAATCAAACAATTTTCGATCCGGTGATTCAGTGAGTTACAAGTGGAATGTTATGGTTTATGCTTTAATGTGAATCGAATGCGTTTATAATTTTGATGCGGATTGGCGCAATGACATTCACATTTTGTGGTTTCGGTGATTGTAAATCAGAAAAACAGGAAACAATCATAAAAATCGGTGTTTTTCTCTCGAAACAACCAAAAAATGGCATTGCAATTGTAATGATTGTGGTTTATAGCATGACGACACTTCAGATTACATTATTATTGTTTGTATTAATTGATTTTGTATTGTTTTGCAGAGGATAAAGAAATTCTACATCGAGTGTCCGGCGAATTTAAATCTGGCGAGCTGACAGCGATTATGGGTCCTTCAGGAGCTGGCAAATCCACATTACTTAACGGATTAGCTGGATATATGTAAGTTTAAACTTTCTTTCAAATTAATTTAATTAAATTAATAATATTATTACTGAAAATGTATATTAAAGACATGACTATGTCATAAAATCAATTTACGTAGACACACACGTGTAATTAATGTTTCAAAACCCGAAAACGCTTAAACTTAGCAATAAATCCTGAGTTGATTATGATTTGCAATGATTTGCATTCATATCGAGATGTAAAGATTTTTCCTCGTTTGCATAATCAGACATAATAACACAGCTGATTTTTAACGAGCGCTCGCGTGTGGAAAACACGCAAAATTCGATGAAATCACATTCGATTGTAAGTGCATCACAAATTATTCATTGTGCAATCAATGATTAATAACTATTTCTACTCATACACTAGAATAATTAATCATTGCAATAGATAAGTCAATATAGTGGATGTACATCTGCTGCTGTGAAGTTTTATATCAGCTATTAACTTATATTGCCGTAGGAATTTGATTTGTTTTGCGGTTTGGTCGATGATCGACTTAATAATGTTTAATTGAAACAACCTTGGTGTGATCATCATTTGTGATCATCAGCTTTACAGTGAATTAATTGGAATAAACATCCTAGTACAGTGCTTTTTAATCTTTTCAATGATGTTACTACAGTGATCTATTTTATTATTTCTCGTATGTATCAAGTATATATGATCTTTTTTAATTATGTAGAAAAGTTTATTCTTCTTTGAAATAAAAAAAAAATTGAAATTCTGACAGGTAATTCAAATATTCCTATTTTTTTAAGCATAAAACATGCCATAGAAAGCACCCTGTATTTATTGAAAAATTAAATCAAGGAGTTTTTTACATTGCATTATGGTTTAAAAGAAAAACAGTTCTTGTGAATACCCTTTTTACCTCTTTAACTTTCTTAGAATCTTTTTAATTGCGCAAGATTTTTTTTTTACAAAAATCCAAAACTCGTTTTAGAAAACATTCATCAGGAGATAGTTCCCATGGGACAATTTAAGAGTTCTTAGCACAGTTGTCGCTCATCAATCTTTTAGTAAATGCCTTAAAATGAACCTCAAAACTGCAATTTTTTCAAAATTTCAAGAACGTGGAATGGAAAACACTTTGTATCTCCTGAATTAATTTAGCTATTTGGGATTTGTCATCATTTTTTATTTACCCTAAGAAAACCAATACCACAACAAAAAATCCAATTATTTATTACAATATATAATAACTTATTAATAGTTTTTTTACGAGTTTACCGACCCACTTTACGTAAACAAGATAGAAAATTCCACTTGAATCATATCCAAGTTGCAAAAACTCATAAAACTAACACTTATTATTCTTAATCTTTATAGATTCAGAGGCTTCAAAGGAACTGTTCAATTCAACGACGAAGTACGCGATGAAAGTCCACGTTTCAACAAGCTCATCGCATACATTCCACAAGACGAAGAATTGCGACTACCACTTACAGTCATGGAAAACATGATGATTGCTGCCGATCTTAAGCTTGGTTACTCAGTAAGCACTGAATACAAAGTCAGTCAAGTAAAAGAAATCCTCGAGGTGTTAGGTCTACAACACACCCATCACACAATGACGGGCAGGTTGTCAGGTGGGCAGCGGAAACGTCTCGCCATTGCTCTGGAACTGCTTAGCAACCCGCCGATCATATTCTTAGATGAACCTACAACGTAAGCATCCGCTTTAAATTTTAAATCATCCTTCACTTTTTCCACTGATCATGACCTAGTGAACTAATATTGATAGTGTATATCAGTTCTTAGTCGAAGGTCATGTTACGAAGTAGAATTTCAGCAGCAGCCATCTTGAATTTTAATGGTTTAATCTATTTATTTGTTTGTTTAGTGGCCTGGACAGTTTATCATGCAGTCAATGCGTGACGTTGCTGAAAAAACTCGCACATGAAGGACGAACTGTGATATGCACGATTCATCAACCTTCTGCACTGCTCTTCGAGATGTTTGACCATCTTTATGTACTCTCAGCAGGCCAGTGCGTGTTTGATGGAAAAGTAGACGCACTCTTGCCACAACTGGAACAAATCGGACTCAATTGTCCTCCGTTTCATAATCCTGCTGATTTTTGTAAGTTTTGAACACTTTAAATAAATTTATATTTTATTGAATGATTGTTCTTGATTTAAGTGATGGAAGTAGCAATTGGTGAGCATGGTACAGATGTCGACGACCTCGCAGCGTTGCAACGTCGTTGTGGAGCTGAAAGAGCACGGCTAATCGCTGAAGCTCCACCGGAAGTACTGACTGAGAAGGAATTATACGCCCGGAAAGTGTCGCAAATGACACCGAGCATTGAAGACATCTCTAATTTTGCTGCCCCTAAACCTGCAAACAGTCTTATGCAGTTTCTACTGCTTTATAAGCGTAATTTAATGATTACTAAACGATGTTCTGTAAGTATTTCAAAACGGCGCCTCCACAATAATTTAAAAATGCTAATAATAACAAATTTTCTTCACAGAAATTATTCATTAATAGAATAGTGGCCCATATTGCCGTTGCTTTACTTTTTGGATACCTCTATAAGAATGTAGGCACATCAGCGTCAACGCTATTAGCCAACTATGTTTTTCTTTACGGATCGATGCTTCTTTTAGTTTATACCGGCCAAATGTCTGTTACACTTTCATGTAAGTATAAAAATAAATATTATGAATAAGTAATGCGTGACGCAGGCGCAGGAAGGTGACATTTAGTTTAAATATATTGCACACACGGTAAATTTTAATATATTAATTAATGCGCATCTGCACAAGGTGTGTTGTTGCATTACATTTCGTAATGCAATAAAACGTGCGAATAATTGTTGTTGTTTGGTTTTAATTGATCAATTATGATTAATTCACTGAGATATTAATGTTTTTGAATGCTTTAATTGAAATTTTATTTGTTTTAGTTCCTTTGGAGATTCAAGTGTTAAAAAGAGAACATTTCAATCGATGGTTTAGATTGGGCCCATATATGATATCAATACTATTAATAGAAATACCATTTCAGGTAAATTTTAATGATTTTATTGTGGTAGCAAGTTAAAAATGTTTATCAATTTTGTAGATTGCCTGCACGTGGATGTACATTGGTATATCTTACTACTTGACAGGACAATTAATGGATTATCGTGTTTATTTCTTTGTGATATTTTGCACATTGGGCACGATTTGTGCTCAATCATGGGGATATTTTATTGGAGCAAATTGTCCCATCAGCGTAAGTACTTTTTATAACTTTATATACTAAAAACGGTTTGTTTCATGTTTTGTTTTTACTTTATTTTTCCAGGTAGCAGTATTCGTCGGCCCAGTGTTAGCTTGCCTTTTCTCCGTGTTCGGTTTCTGTATCACATACATGGATACGCCGTACATGTTCCGATGGCTGTATACAATCAGTTACTTCCGGGCGAGTTTCCACGGCCTCACGTACGCCATCTACGGTCTTACGCGGCCGCTACTCGACTGCCCCGAAGAAATGATTTACTGCCACTATCAGGACCCAAAGAAGTTCCTTGATGAGTACGGTATCGATGGGCTTAACCTCTGGAGTAATATCTCGCTCATTGTCGGTATCACATTCATTTTACATGCTTCTACATATGTTTCACTATGGTGTAAACTCAATCGACGATAATCTAATCGTTTAATGTTATTTCTTTAATTATTTATTTTCCTCCGAAGGAAATTTCAATGCTAGTGAAAAACGCCGTACTTTACAACCAAGATTATGTATACCTACGATATAATCATCACAGAATATTTATTGAAACAAACTAGTGGATAGTTCAAATTCAAAACACATAAAATATTTGATTGTTATACGAAAAGGAGAAACCTAATGTATTTATTTCGATGAATAATACTTAATACGATTAGCATACGATTAACTTAATTTTTTAGTTGTCAAACTAAACTAAAGTAATTAAACGCGAATTACTCGCATCACTCTAAGAAAGTTGATAAATATAGTATTATCTAGTTGTAGTTAACTAATTATTTTTGTACTAATTGAACAAGGCGTTAAACGACCGAGTATACCAACTAAAAACTGGACAAAAGGGTTTTTGATTATATATAGGCAATGAAAAATAACAATAGCCAGTTTTGTGTAATTATTATTACTTTTAACAATATTTGTTTGTAACTGTAACTTCATAACCAAGTTTGGTGTTTGTTAATGCCAAAGACTTAGTCGTAGACGATTTGTGAGACACACTATAGTGGTATTAATACGTAATAATGCAATTTAAATTTATAAAGATACAAATTGTTGTTATTCCAAGTGCAAATAAAATATAAACAATAATTAAATAATTTACTTATATTTCACGTTTCATATTATTGTTTTATTGTTCAAAATTATGTTTAAAGGAAGCAATTAAAGCTATTCAAAAGTAATAACAGTGCGGTATAAATGTGTTGTGTTTGTTTGGTTGCCGATAGTCACGTAGTTGATTCAATTAATCATTGAAATGATTCAAATGTAAATTCATGATTCACGATATTATAACAAAGTTTGTAATCTCTACCAGCCGTATCGTTATCACACCGCGTGGTTTGACTTTGTCAAGATATGAACCACACATGTTCATCGCGCATCTACCAGGTGTTCATTTGCATTCGACTATTAACAAATTCAATAAAATCATAAATCCAGTCCAAATCACAACGGAAAAATTACTTTGTTTTAATAATCGATCAATATCACGAGTATTCTTAATAAAACAAAGAAAATTTTGTATCAAAATTTAAATGTAGAACAATTAAAAGCCTAAAATACACTCATTGAGTGACACACTTGAATTGCCTGAAGGCTTATTTATTGTGCTTCGATTAATGGGAAGTCGCACGATGTGACTTTTGAACTTCGTTTCAATGAAACAAAAATCGTGTGCGCTTGCGAGTTTGCGACGAGTGACATCGCCGGCATCGCGTTTTTTATTCCGCGCCCGCCGACATTCGCGCGTTCGTGTCATTGTTTTATTTAATATGCGCGTCGCATCGTCGGGCTGGTACCTTCGCCTCGGCCGGTGTGCGACCTTAACAATTGATCTAATCAATTAAACTATTAAGTAGTAAAGTTAAACATTCAATCAGCAACTGATGCACAACGGCATGCACGCATCGTTCGCACACTCATTTTTCTATCTTAATTAACGTCAATTCATCAATTTACAGCGTTCATTGACTCAAGTAAAACAAAAAATCTTTATTACGATGAGTTTTTAAAAGTTCTGCTATCTTTATATGTGATTTTCATGTATTTTTTAAGTGAAATAGCGTGAAAATTTGTTGTTTTAATGATTTGTTTGAATGCGGTATACTTGTGGCACGATTAAATTTCCTTATCGAGTTGCCAACAATAGATAGCGTATAAAATACGTTGTTTAACACAATTATTTACAACTTATCTGAAATCTAGACATTCGGAGACGTGAAAGTTTGCGCAATAAAGAATCGAAAAGTTTTCAGACGGTCACTGTCTGTGTCAAAGTTGACAACGATAAACAATATATTAAAAAATGTTATTTTTTTATACCAGAGACATTAAAATACGTTTTGTTATATATATTAATGATCTCATAAAATACTAAATTTTGTATGTTTTCATAAAAATATTAACTTTTTAAAGTTTTACCAAAATTAAATTGGTTTCAAGTGATGAACATGTGCGCACAGTGCTGTATCACAGGACTCCTGCTGCAAACAAAGAATCAACCGCACAACAAAGCGTCCCGAGGCTTGATATCGAACGGGAGCTAAGCTATCACGACCAGCTCTAGTGGGAGCAAGAAAACAGCGTGTCGCGCTTTATTTACCAACACGCATCGGGGATCGAGCTCTAGCATCGCGACCGCGGAGTCGCACATCAGTTTGCCACTCGGCAGTCGCGAGCGGAGTCGCGTTTCGTGTGCGTGTGCGCGACGAATTGCGGGGGAGTGCGCCGACCCAACAACACACAATCATCAGCTGAGCGAACAAAACGCAGTGCGACTTTCTTATCAAAATCGACGAGCTGCATCTGTGTCTGTCGCAGTCTAGCTTAGAGTTCGTTTCGAGTTTTAAGCAGTTGGTGGCAGTTGATCAATCTTTTGATACATTTATATTCATAACAAAGAAATAATTTTCATCAGGGATGCTGATTGGAGTGCGTAACAAAGAAAAACCAACAATTTTCTCAATTAAAAATGAAAGCATTCACTTTCGAAACGTTTTCGAGGTATTAACCGTTTAATTTTGGGTTAACACGTGCGGAACAAGTGAATAAATAAAATGGTTTCGCGCGAGTGTGGTGGAGGCGGCGGTAGTGCATCGTCCACGTCGGGCAGAGCACTCTACACGAAGAATAAAAACGTGAAACGCGCTGTGGATGGCCTCGTTGGGAGCGGCAAGAAAAAACGCCCGGACTCACAGCAAGTGGAACTTCTCAATGTTGAGTCGCGGCCACGCAGTCTCGTCGCCCCCAGCAACGGAGAAATTCACATTGGATTCAGGAAGTTGTCGTATTCTGTCAGGGAGGGAATTTTTCGAAATAGTAAGTGAAAATATAAAAAATAGCTGAAAATCATTGTATATAATTACATAGATGGCGCTCAAATTGCTACATAACCTCAATTAAAGAAAATTTCGCAAAAATATTACAAGTTATTCAAACATTTTGAGATGATATGTGACGGTATATAAATAGTAGTTGCTAGGAATATCGTCTAGCAGGAGTATAAACGTGTCATGTTCGTTAAAAGGCCAGTGACACCATTTTATACTAGTTCCCCGTTCTTCATCTCACATTCTCAACCAACTAACTTCATCACACGCACTTCGAAACGCTCGCCCAGTAAATTATTTACTTTTTTGTGTTAAAATCCAGTTTATTTGCTATGCATATATTAATTCCACACACAAAAAATATTCAGCACGTGTAATAATGTGATCATAGCTGTTGTACTCAAAGATGAGTGTGTAGCCATATTTTTATATCAAGTTTCAACTGGTTATTAAATGAATGTGAAGCAACCATTTATCAGTATGTACTAGAATTTATATGGAACAACAAAATTATTTCGCGTTCAGCCTCAGAAGCTTCAAATATTTGCATTTCATATCCGTATGTATTACATAATAAGATAATATTTAGTTTTTCAGCGAATCAATAGCGATATCTCGTTGCGTTTAGTTAGAATCTTTTAGTATATTGCACAGTTAATGACGGCTGATGTAGATGTAGAATGTAGATGGATGATGGCTATTGAATAACCCACTCAGTGTTATCCTATTAACATGCCGAACGGCGAACAACAACGTTACATTTGCATCTAGCACGAGATGGACTTTGATCTCTTGCAAATGCCTAGTCGTTCGAATCATTCACAAACCGTGTTCACACTTGACTAGACACAGAATTACTCTGCAACTTCTAATGTTGTATGTTTTATTTGCATGTGTATCAATTTTTATTGACAAGAATCAGATTAGGGCTTGGTTCTTGAAAATATGACCTTGGAGATTGTTTAAGATAAGATTTCTAGTTAGGTAAAACCTCAAACTTGGATTGCCCAATCGTGAAAATTGACAAATTACGTATTTTAACAATACCACTCATTGGGTAGGTATCGGGACTCTGTAAATATTTACCAAGTACTTAAAATTGTTCAGCACAATGAATGAAATAAGCGTTTTGATAGTAAAACTGTAAATGTACGCGTTGTAAACGTCGTAAACGAAAATAGTTTTATTACTAATTGGAGCTAATTGTGGCATTCAGAGAAATTATCCCAATGTTTAATATTTATGCGTGGTAAATAAAGGCAAAGTCTTTTTCATTTCCAGGAAGTCCCTACACATCTCTAAATAGTTAATATTTAAGTTTTGATATGAAAATTATGAAAGAATTCATTCCGTATTTTAAACTTTAATTAAAGTTTTTTACAAAACAATTATTTAATTATTAAAATAAAATACCCGTGAGTTAGTGAAATTTTTATGATTGAAATAATTTTAATTTCTTGTGCAAATATTATCGCTCGATTTGTTATCAGAAATGAGCGGCGTCAATAAAACAAACACAATGCGTTCTCGATGCGATAATCGAATCGAAACGATGTCAATGTTCAAAGACCAGTCGTGTTCACCATTATTACTATTAATAATAATCGAAAGAACTTTAACATTTGGTTATTTATAGTTTTATTTCAATAATTCCCTCTCTTTCTGTCCTAATTTTATTTGATAAAAAAATACTTTTTAAAATATGATAAGTAAATTTTTATTTAATGTTTCATATTAAATATGTTTTATTAAATTAATTATGTGTTTAAAATGATAAGAAACATAGCTGCGGCATATTTTACTCAATTTAGAGATAAAAAAAAAACTAAAACAGCTGCATGGAATATTCTTGATTCAAATGAAACTTTAAACGAGTATGTAACGCAGTTATCAACAGAGCGTCTATTATTATTTCTGAATTTATTACATTATTTCCGTGTTGAATGCATTGGTGCGGCGCTAGAGCTTACGACAGAGTGAAACTTTCTAATTCATTTAGTTCTCTAATTTGTTTGAGCGCTGGAATTAATGAATCAGCAATAAAATCAACGAAAACTTTAAAATAACTATAGAAAATAGGTTTATGCGTATTTTAACTTTTTTGGTTGTACATAATCGAAAAGGAAACTGAAATAAATTCACGCATGAGTAATTCAATTAAAAACCATAAAAACTGTTGAAAGTGTGTTCAAGAACGCGTTGATAAGTTATTTACAAAAATTATACACGAAAAAGTTTACATTTTTCAACCTATACTCCACATTTCATAACAAATATATTTTTGATATGAAAAATTCATGATTTTCTAGTGTCTGAATTATTTTGAGGCATTCAAGTCACCTCCACAATCACCTCCTGCTATGTTTATATTTAGGTATTTCATTCAGTCATCAGTTATAAGTTTCATTTGCTGTGTGCTACCGTTGAGTTGAAAACAGTTTCGTCATAGTGAAAGGCGCAATACGCAGAAAAATATCAAATAAAAACCAAGAATCAGTCAAACTGACAGATTTATAATGGAAATGAAGAAATATCACTAATAACTAACAATAAAGAGACTGTATATTGCCTCTCTTGCAATATTGCATATATTTTTTGCAATAAAATATGAAATAAAGTGCAATGAAATTAGCTTGAGGTCATTTACACCAAACAGAAGTGCGCTAGGTATCGAACGCATGCAATCTGCGAAATGTAAATTGCACCTTTCGTGTGCGCCTTGCGAATTGTAAATAAACAAACGGCGAGCCATGCCGGTTCAACGGGTTTCTCGACGCAAGGTTACAATTAGAATTCATTAGTAAAGTCAATATGCGTCATGTTTTCCACGATAAAAGTATAAAGTCTTGTTTGCAATATTGGCAACACAGCTCTTTTCACATTCTTATCCGCAGGTAGAAATAAAAGAATTGAAATTTAGTACAAGTCTATAGAATCAGCTGGGCATCAGCTGCTTGTGGCTTTTTACCATCTGTAAAGCTGTTTGGCTTTGTTTCTCTCCTTCCTCTTTGCCTTTCCACCATTAAAACGCCAGTGCGTCATGTTCGGATTGAAGGAGGATGACCTCGTTTGCCATCGCTACCGTCCTAACAGAACTCAACTCTACACGTGCGAGTTTTGAAAATGTATACACAGTGCGTACCAAGCCCAGAACAAAGAGATTTGCATCATAGAAATACAACAATAAGCTCATACTCATATATTCATGTTGAAATCAGTTCCTAACACTAATACGTATCAACTACTTTGTCGTTTACGCACGACACATGCGTAAAACATCATAATCACAAGCACGTTTTTATTCATTGACGATATTTGAGTGTATCGTTTGACCTCTTGAACAACACAACCAGCAAAAAATGTGACGTGCTTAAAACTTAAATTTTGTACAGTATCAAGGCCAATACGATTATTTATATTAAAATTAAGCACACTTTGACAACAAATGTAAACATTGCCGCCATTTTGCTAAAAAGCACGTTTAAAATTTATTTAAACCTTTTATTTTAGTATTGAATCTGTAGACTAGTTTTATCTAGTCATGAGTAGTAAACTCCTGAGCTGCCGTAAAGAAATGAACTAGGTATTGTGGGCGCTGCTGAGACTCCGCCACAGACTTCAGAAACAAACCAAACCGGTCTGTTGATTATTTATTTATAAATGGGTCTAAAATTACGGCAGGCATCGCAGCTGAGTGCAGCTATCCGACTTAAAGCAAGCGAAAGAGTCGTTCTCAACCATTCTCAAAGATTCTCAGCAAAAGACTCTAAAACTAATGAAAAAATATCAAAAACAGTATTATCAGTATTAAAAGTAGAAATTATCTTTTTTTATCAATATTTGTAAGAATATAAAAACAACTATTATCTATACTTTTTTAAACTCAAAAAATGTGGTTTTAATGATATCCAACAGGAAGTTACACTGAATGAAATAAATTTATACCGCATTGTTGTTGCTCACTGGATGAGCAACAATGCTTTTCCTTGAGAAAACATTTTAGTTTCACTTTCGTTTGGAATTCGAAAAGTTTTTGTTGAATTTTTGTTTATTAAACTCGTATTATCTCTACTTAAGTAATGCTTTATTCTCAATTCAGTGTATAACACATAAGACATGGATATATGGCGAATTTGACCTTTCGCATTAGCTGCGTTTTAATGTAGGACGCCATTCTGCCATGCGCACTCCGTCATCCATTACAACAATTTATAAATTTACTATGTGGATTTTCTATTGTCGCTAGAGCGCCTCGTGTGCATTAAACAACACATAAAATGCATAACGTGCACCTACTTTGACTATCAACCCAATAAATAATAATCTAATTGCAAAATTCTACAAGCGATAGCAGAATTGTGTAATTTGATAACTTAGCGTTTAGCACAAACCAGGTGTGAAAATTGCCGAAAAACACACACCTGTCTAATGTGTCGCACCTGCAAACTCGCATTGAGGACCCAAAATGATGCTCACAATATATATTTATCTAAAATCGACACTTGCAAAGTAAACTAAACGAGATAGATATGATTCAATCGATAAAACAACTACTATTGATTACATTGATACATTTATGTTTGCTAATACTCTAATCAACTCGTACGTATTTCCTATTATTACAGAATACTGATTATTCGTATGTTTGGCCAGCTGTGCGATGACTACATTTGATTTTTTCTTTTCAATTTATAATCAAATCAAACAAGCACGTGGAGCGTGTATTTTATAAAAATTAATTACATTTAGATTGTTTTTAAGTGTATGACACATTGTAATTAGATTTGTAGTTGATACGTTTATAAATAATAATTTAAAAATATTTATTTGTTAATAGTTATACGTGATTTCTTCTGGATTTACATTTTATATATTGAGTTGACATGTTTCGCCCTGAGGGCATCTTGAAAACTATACCATGGATTACGTATTCAACAACGAAAGTAATAGAATTATAAATAATAATTATGCATTTGTCTACTAAATTACTCATCACAGGTGTATCAAGGTCTAGATTTTTGCCTGGATTTTAGACTTAGCAACGGATTGTTACAATTATTTTGGATTAAACGATTAAAATAAAAAAGCCTACTTTATTAGCTATTAAAATAAGATTGTAGTAAATTGATATCGTTGTTAATATGTGTGAATTTAAAATTTTTGAAAAAACTGAGTTTTTGATTTGTTTCGTAACATTTTTAATATATAACATTCCATTCCTATCATTAATAATTAAGGTACTGTAATACAAAATGTATTACAAAACTCACTGTGCTTGAGATTATTTTAATTGTAATTTTATTACAATGTATCAATTTTATCACCTTGTAAAACAATTGACAGTTGATTTGATTCGAATTGTTTTGATTTTTTACAGGAAGACGAAGATTATTAAAAGATATAAATGGAGATTTTCACGCCGGGGAACTCACAGCAATCATGGGACCATCCGGATCCGGAAAATCTACTTTAATGAATATCCTTGCAGGTTATATGTAAGTCAATATTTTAATTATATATTATAATATAATGATAAGTAATTTGATAGATTGATTGCTAATTTATGTGATTGTAATATGTGTTAATTTAATGTGCATTGAACTTTTGCTCATTAAATATTTCATGACGCGCGAAAATTGCCCCGAGCACGCAAAAAACAAAACCGGTACACATGCACCGACATGGACGATTTCCTGCTCGAGTAAACCGACGAAACCCTATTTATTTTTATATGCTGTGGACATGTGTTCATGACAATTACACTCGTGATTCACTCTCATAATACATAGAGATGCGTAAACTCTTCTTTGTTCTATTTATGATAAGCATTGAAATGAAACGTTTCATTCAATGCTTAAATTATTAGATCGAAATACAAATTAACACGTGTTTGAATAATTAAAACAAAAGGTAAAGATAAAACCGGTGAATCTTTGTTTCTTTAGACAAAAGAATTTTCCCATACATGGTGATTAACTTAAATGGCAACTAAACCATTAACTGAGTGTAAATTAAGTTTTTAAGTACAGCTTAGACTATTTCTATAAATGTTTCTATTCTTTGCGGCACGAGCCGGTTGATTGTCTGATAGATAACCTTGGACGATATTGAGGATTCATTTTCCGCACCGTGATTTGTGTTTTAAATTTAGACTTACATTTGCATGATAATATAATCGCTGTCGTTTACTTTGTTTACATGAATTGTAAATTTTGATAGTATTTAACTTTATATTTGAAATTAAAGTTTAAATTATTACTAAACGCCTCAAATCTCTTCTGTTTTTTTCGCTTCGGATTTCTGTTGATTATTTTATAATTTTTTACGAACGTAGAAGTTAATAAGAAGTATTTATCGTTGAGTATTTATTTGAAGGTCATACAATTACCAACCGAGGCAATTCATTGATGAAATCGTGCCGAACACAACTAATTATTATCTTTATGCTTTGTTTTACTGCATTTCATTAATTTTAATAATCCTGTTTGTTTTTAGCAATCGCGAAGTCAAAGGCAAACTGTTTGTGAATGATATCGAGCGCGAAGAAGATGGCTTCCGGAAGAAATCCTGCTATATCATGCAGGATGATAATTTGCAACCGCTGCTGACTGTGATGGAGGCGATGTATGTCGCCGCTAATCTTAATTTAAGTGCTGCTGTTCAAACCAAAGATAAACGTAAAAGAGTAAGTTATTAATCAACAACAACAAAAATAATATTCTGAAGGTAATTTTACTTAAATTTCCTTTCAGATAGTTGAAATACTGGAAGCTTTAGGCCTGTGGGATTGTCGTAAAGTAAAAACCAAAAACCTATCTGGAGGCCAACGTAAAAGGCTCTCCATTGCGTTAGAATTACTTAAAAATCCTCAGGTGATGTTCTTCGATGAACCAACCAGGTAAAATGTTTATATTCCTCCATAAAACACTGTTATAATTAATTTTTATCTTTATTTTAGTGGTTTAGACAGTTCCACCACCAAACAATGCGTCAGTTTACTAAAACAACTTGCACAAGAAGGCAAGACAGTGATTTGTACAATCCACCAACCAAGTGCTTCAGTTTTCGAAATGTTTGATCATCTCTATGCCATATCCGACGGGCGATGCATTTATCAAGGCTCCATCAAAGGTTTGATACCATATCTTGAAGAATGTGGACTGCAATGTCCATCTTATCACAATCCAGCCGATTACCGTACGTTACAAGAAATTAAAACTAGATTTGGGTCGAAATTCATTGTTTTTGATTGTAGTGCTTGAGGTAGCAAACGGTGAGTATGGCTCACACACGGAACACTTGATGGGAAAATCTGAGAATGGTTTATGCACGGATTGGAGGAAGAATCAGCGAGATACAATGCAGATTCAATCACTAGAACATGTTGGTAAGAGAATTATAAAGCAAAAAAAAAACATAGTGTTATGTACTGACTGAATGAATATTTTAGAAAAAATGGTGCAAAGCGGGCTTTTGACACCAGTAAAAGTGCCATCTTCAAATGTCTTTCGATTTTCATGGTACAACACAGCAACACAGGACGCTGCGAGTGTGGGGGCACCTCCACCACCGGAAATTCCAACTTCACATTGCGATAACAACTATTCAACGTCATTCTTTTACCAACTCTATGTGTTACTTAAGAGGACATTCCTTGTGCTCGGTCGCGAGAAATATTTGCATCTTCTAGCGGATCACTTCACTCGGCATGCTTTCACAAGTACTTCAAAAGGACAAAGTTCAAAAGATTTTATAAAATTGCTTCAACCCATAGTCGCAAATAATAAAATCAAGATTTTATTAACAGACCAATACCCAGCCATTAAAGCAAGAGAATTCCAAGAATTCTTAAACGCACACGGAATCACCATTGTTTGCACAGCAGTGGACTGTCCGGCATCGAATGGTTTGAATGAAAGACTTAACCAGACGCTGGTTAACAGAATACGATGTAAAATGAGAGAAAAACCAAATAAAGCATGGTCAACGATTGCAACAGAATGCACGAAGGAATATAATCAATCTATCCATAGTGTAACAAAGTTCGCACCTGAAGATCTCCTCACAGGGAAGGATTCCAGAATAGTACCTATCGAACTGGAAATTAAACGAAATTTAAGAGAAGACCGACAAACAGCATTCAAGAATTCACAAAAAAATCATCTCCAAAATAAAACAAGAACTGATCAAGGAAGAAAAAGTGTGGAAATTAACGTAGGTGACTACGTTTTCATCGAAAACGGAAAAAAGTTAAACCAGAAATAAGTGGGCCATACGGCGTCTGGACCATACAAAAGTCAAGAGGCAGTTTCCGAGGATCACCTATACAAAATAGACCTAGGAAACTGGAAAAATAAAAATAATCTGTTCCACACTAGTAAGCTGGTAGCCTGCAGACAGGGTCGTCCTTTCTGAGGTCTCGCGATGGGGGATGTAAACGGGGAAATTCCCCGTTTAACGGAAGTCTAGTGACTCGCACTTTTCTGGGTTGGCACGAATGTGAGTGCGAGGAGGGAGAAGGACACTGAGAGAGCCAGAAAGTACGATTAGTCATGCTGAACAATTGTGCCAGTGTTACGCGACCGTATAAAAATCACCTCGGCGTGGGCGAGCGAAAACCAATTTTTCGTAGGTAAGATCGCCGTTCCGTTTTTGTACATGTACTGGCTTCGGCCGCCTAACTAATGTAATAAAAAATATTCACGTATTGAAAATTGGTCGAGTTGTTTATTCCGAGGCAAAGATTACATATATATATATTTGAATATTTCATACTAGTGCCATCAGTAATAATACACTTATGGTGGTGCGATTCTGTATTCACCACTTTACAAACGAACGTACGAAAGCTCCAAGACGCTTCCTACGTACGACGAAGTTGGATCGTACTTAAGTGGTATTCTGCAATGCTTTATCTACTCTTTACCTAAAGTCAATCCCTTTTGCACCCTAAAAATTTGACAGAAAGCGCACGAGTTTCAAATGTATGGGAACAACTTCAATTATTCAAATATGCAACAAATATGTGTTAATACTTATTATTTCCTATTTCAGTTCAATACTGACGTTTGAAAAGTCGCAATCAAAAAGTTGTTGTTATTGTTCATTGTTTTGATTTTTTAAATTACCTTTGAAGAAACACAATCAAAAAATATAAATAATCTTTTATACATGCTACGTATTTGGCTCATTATCAGCAAATACTTGTGAAAAAATTGACAAAATATTTATCCTCAAATTTATTGTTTTTAGGAGTTTTTTTTAATTTGAAATTTTTTAGCGAAGCATTGGAATTTTGCATTTGAAAATACAGATACACACTCGATGCGTTACCGTTCTTTGTCATCTTCATCTTTTTCACATCTGCTGAGCACACGGCTCGGCAAGAAATATTTCACTTACCAATTTCGATGAATGAGCCCGGGCTGGGACAGCGCTTTGGAACGACCGAGTGCGGTTGTGAGTGAGAACGAAGAGCTGCGGTAAAAAGGCAGTTTCACCCGCGCCAAAGAGAGCAGCGCATGCGTATAACATGATACAGCTATCCGGCACCCTCGGCTGCTCGAAATTAGAGGCGGCGAACCCTCCAAAAAGACCTCCGTTGAACTCCAGGGTACAATTTGCGCTTCGTTCGACAGTACGGCACTTCGGGTGCTGCTCAGAATAACACCATTAAGCTGATTGGCCAAGACGGACGACCTGTTAATTTTAGAGGAGAAATCATTATAATTCGTTTTGAGGTGAAAAAGCTATGAAGTGTGGCATTTTATTTAAAACAGCTTTAACAGCAATAGTTACTTCGTATACTTCGAAGAGTAAGTTATTAAGCGATCAAACGATTTAAACATTTTGACAAAAATAGGCTAAGATGATTCAATTACTAAAAAAACATTATCCCACTTAATGTGCGATTCTGTGTTCACCACGTAACGAATGTACGTAGCGAAGCTCGGAGACGCTTCGTTCGTAGAAGTAACGATTCGACCGTAAGTGGTATTCTGAGCGCTCGTCCATAACTTTGCCTAAAGTCAATTCCGCTGCAGCATAGAATATGACAGAAAGCGCGCGAGTTAAATGTGTATTAATACTTATTATTTGTATTTTCATTCTATACTGACGTTTAAAAAGTTGTTATTATTTATTGTTTTTATTCTAAATTACCTTTAAAGAGACGTAATCAAAAAATAATGTTTTTTTTCAACTTCCACCTATAAAACGCTAGTTTAACTACGGCATATAGACCCAAAACGTGGTACAGTAGAATCTTGATAACTCGAATGTCAAGGGAAACCAAAAAAAATTCGAGATAGCAAGTTTTCGACTTAACAAGAATTTCGAGATATGAAGAGTTAACTCATCAAATTTCGACATAAAAAGGCACAATTCATCATTATATTTTATGAACTTCGACTTACTGAGGTAGGTATTTGCAGTTCGAGTTACTGTATATTAAAATGTACGAGTATTGCCTCACAGGGAAATAACTTATTGTTCGAGTTACTGACTGTAGAAAATTCGAGTTACTGCGTCGCTCGGGGTTCGGCGGAAGGGAATAGCATATCTTTTCGATTTACTGAGGATTACGACTTAACAAGGTTCGAGATATCAAGATTCTACTGTACTTTAAATACGAACGGCCAAGCCGTACATCATATTCATTATGTACATGCATTAACACACGGGACGGAGTTTATATCGGGCCGATATAAACTGAAGCGTCACATTGGCCGGCGCGCGGCATGGCACTTACAACCTAACAGTTTTAAGTGTGTGAGCAAATTTCAATGATTTAAAATACAATAGTTGAATCACAAAAACCGTAACGTGGAACTAGAGTAGAAGAAGAAAAAATAGCGTAAGCACCTCGTTGCTAAACATTGTTAAAAACTCGATTGATTGACCGCTCGCTTCGCTCGCTCCGAATCAATTCTCGCCGGTAATGCCCTCGGTTAAAATTAAAAAAATATATCAAATAAAATTTTTTTTGAATTTGTATATTTTTGCTTGAAACTTTCTTCTTCGTTTTATTCCACTTTACCAATTTCGATGAATAGGCAGACTGAGACAGCAGACAGCGAGTGCGGGTGCAAGTGAGAACGAAGAGCTGCGGTAAGGCAGTTTCACCCGCGCCAAGAGAGCAGCGCATGCGTATAACATGTTACGAAGCCCATCGATTCCCCCAAGCTGCGCGATAAAAATCTTTCGTTTCGGATGCTGCTCAGAATCGCACCATTGAACACACCTTCAGAAAAACTACTTCTCATAACAACCGAATGAAAATTAAATTACCAAAAAAGGATTATCGGCGTTGTTACGATGTTTATAATTTATAATGGTTTGGCCAATTTTTACAGTTTTTAAACGGCTGAATTCCTTTGTTTGTTATAGTAAATATATTACGTAAATATATTAAATATACAATATAATAATTCTACTTCTACCTATGAAACGCCAGTTTATCCACGGAATTAAGACCCAAAGCGTGGTACTTTATGTACGGACGACCAAGCCGTACACAATATTCATTATGTACTAGCATTATGCACGGCGCGGAGCAGCTGTCTGCGCATTTTCCTACGAAGTAGCACAAGGCGGTATGAAATGCCATGCGACGTCTGTCAAACACATCAAAATAGGCGCTGCTGCTGCTCGCATTGGAGCGGCACAATATGGCCCGACGCATTACATGGGCCGGCACGCTAGATTGCGCTTGCTACGCTCGCTCTTAATCAAATCTCGTCGGTAATGCCCCCGTTTAGCTACTTGTTACTTAATCTAATATATAAAAATAAGTCGGGTCATTATGCTCATTATGCATTAAAATATGTTTACATACAGCCATGATATTTCCACAATGCATCTTCGGTACTTGAATGTATGAATACTTTTGTAAAATTATTAAATTAATTCTCCATCATATTTTGCGTGATATGATAATAAATGTTCATCATTGATTATAACTGCTAATTTTTGATTTATGTATCGAATAGAAATTTGACTCCAATAATCAATTGAAAGCAGTGGTTTATGTTCAATCTAAAAATGTTCTATTTAAACCTCATTAGTGATATTAAACATTGCATACTTTATTGCCCATATTTTCACATTCTTGCAAACTATCTCGGATTTTGGTGGACGATGATATTTTCTTACACTTTTTTATATCACTTGCCTTTCCATTCCACCCACCGACAATAAAAATAATGCATTCTCCTCTTTTTATTAATCGGTTAGAACACAAATAAATTTGTACATTCGATTTTCCAAAAAACGATAAATTGATTTCAAAACGATTCTGAATATTAATATCTCCTATTTTTTCAAATTTATAATATGGTGTCTTTTGTACCGATCTAGTCATAACAATTGGAAACACTAAAGAAAATTAATTATTAATATGTTATAAAATATATTAAATTAAAATAGTACTTTCCCAAGTATAATCCATCACTGGACCAGATGTTGCGTTGTAGGCTACTTCTTCATCCCATCCATAATTTTTCCAATTGAAATGAATATTTTGCAAGGACTTATTATCTTGTAAGTAAAATTAGAATTAATAAATTTGGAAGGTGATATAGGAATCCATGCAATTGCATCATTGTAATCATTATTGGCACACGTTACAAAAACAAGAGTAATACGAACGATCTCATTTTGAATACTAATGTGCTTCTAAAGCACTAGTACAGTCATTTGGTGCTAAAAAACGTGGTTGCTTGGAAAATAGTGCTGGATTGTTGAAAATTGGTATTCATATAGATTTCGATGTGCTCTTTACGAATTTAAACTTTGCCACCTCGGAATGTCCCCAAGATCTGCATTTACTTGATTTATAAAATTCATTTCGCTCTTGAGCTCTTGTGCAAGTAACACGGTAAATAAACGGTTAAAATCAGCAAGAGTTTTATTCACTGCATACCTCATCTACCACATCACTATCATATCTTGGAGCGCGATGTTAGACCGGCTAAACTCAGTCAGAGTCGCTTGAGCATCGCAAACAAAAATCGGGCAAACCGTCTTCAGAACCAGGAGGACAAGCTACGCAGGTTTCGCCCCAACAATATCCATGTGATTTTCCTCCTGTGCTTGTCGAATACATTTGTCTACCAATGTAAACAAACTGACACAAATGTCAAGTTCCTCAGAATTCTGCACTAGAATTGGATGCTGTGAAGAATGCTCAATTTTCTGAAGGCATTGAAGGAATGACGTAAGATTATGTGGATACATCGGAGTTCCTCGTTTAACCCCATTTGTAAAATAGAAGATACTAATCTTTATTGCACCAGTACTTTGTTTAACTATAAAATTATTCATTTCATAGTTGTGGAACATTTTTACGGACAAAGCCGTAATTTCAATGTCTAAATAAGTTACGATTCTGTTCCTACGGTAATCAGGTCAGTATTTTGATAGCCTTTCCTAAAAATTCAAAATTTAATTAGTCGGGCCAATACACACTATTATTACATACATTTTTTATATCAGCCAAGGTCACAAATAAAACGATGGTCTCTACTGCTTATTTGATAATTTAATCATCTCCCAAAAGTAATAATGATTTGTAGTGGTTGCCGGCGAGCACAAAATATAAGCTGTCCTGCAGTGTGCTCTACAAATTTGACATAATTAAATAAGGAATAACACAACATATATACTATATTTTCAGTTAGTTAATGTCAGACATAACATTTCTGGTCATATGTTACAAAAACTAAAAATAAAAATATAAAATAAAAAGTAGAAACATATTAATCCTATTCCAACATACTTTCCATTCTACGAGATATTGTGTAATTATTTTCTGAACAGCCAACGGTTCTTTCCATACTACTCCAACAGGTTCTTCAACAAACAGGTAATCATATATTATAATCGTCGTAAGTTTACATTACTCACTGGATTCATCCGTGGTATACATGATATTGTTCGTTATTTGGTGGTTTCTGATCAATCGAAGAGTGTAATTTGTAAATATTTTCAATGATGATAGAGTATTATTCACTTCCAAATGTGTTGCAGATTGTACTGTGTTACCAACTTCATCACAGTTTTACATCTAATAATTCCGCATTAAACAATTTCTTGCAGACTAGTAATTTTCAACATATATATTAGTCACTCTTTTTATTCTTTTTATAAGAATTTGGTAATTGTGAAGATCTAAAAAAGTTTATAATTTACAAAAATAGTTTTTTTTTTAATATAGATTTTAAATACCATCACATGTAATTTCAAATTGAAATATTGTCAATTCTCGTTTATAACACTTTAATTTTTTATCGTCAACACATAGCACTATCTGATAATTAGATTTGGTATCTTCAATTAAATTAGTATAATTAACAACTTTGACTTTAACTAGTGTTAATTTTCGTTCTAAAATTATTCTGTTTGAATTAAATAAACGAGTGTAATAATATTCTGGTCCCTCGACACCATCATATTTTAATTCTTTATCATATATTGTAATTGTGCAATTTGTGACACAATTAGTTTGAGTGGATACAGTAGCAGTTCACACTGATAAATTTCGGGCTGTGCAATATGGTTCAATATAATTATTTTTACATCCCATGATGCATTTTCCATTCACAGAATTGCATAAGCCCTCGACACATTCTACGCATTTACATACACAATAACATCCATATCGTCCATCTTCACACTCTGTAACAAAACAAATGCAATTTACAAATTTTGATGCCAGCAATAATCTTACGGTTTTAGGAATAATTTCCAATGTATCCATTTGAACAATAACAAAGTTGCTCATTGCATATTATTCGATGTGAATTTTCTATTGTGTTATTGTATTTGGCACTACAAGTACCTGGTTTCTCACGTTCGACAATTTGACAGTGACTTTTATTATCTGCAAGTTGAATTGTTAAATGTTTTTTCTATGTAAAAGTGATGAACATTTTATATTTTTTATTGATGCTAAACTATATGATAAACTCGAAAAGTGATGATTGAATCGATCCATTGTATTGCAATCATCATGAATAACCATATCACGAATTGCAATAATATCACCATAACTACTCTGTAAAACGGTAAAATATTCTTGATATTTGTATACCGGTGTGTTAAATGTTTTGTAATTCCATTGTGTGCTGTGTTTGCTAGAATATTTTACTGTTTTAATCAATCTCTCAGATCACTCAGTAATAGTCAAATTAAATAGGTTGACTTTACGTGAAACATTAAACTAGCAGAAGATCTTTCCGCTAAATGAATTGTTCGATTCTCATAATATGAAACTAAAATTATATACAATATTAGTTCAGTTAAGAATCACTTGCAATTGTTGGTTTGAGTATCGTATGGTTATCAGGCTCCAATTACTTTCCGAGAAAAAATGATCGTGTATAATTTGTAAACAACTTGATTAAATATTTGCTTAAATTTTTATTGAAATGAGAAAATTACATCTTCAATCAAATTTTCGCATGTTTTTGTTGCATTATATTTAGATTTCTTTTGTCCCCTTTTCCGGTGTACAAAATAAAAATTAAACAAGGGTCAGTATTGTTTGGAACACCAGAACATAAGTAAATATGTGCGTTTGATTTTCCCAAAAATGAAAAATTCAATTCGTGTTGATTTAGTATGTGAATATCACGTATTTCTTTAAATTTATATTGTCTTCGAGGTGTAGTTGCTCTGGTTAAAATTATTGGCATATCCAGATTATAAAAGTTATTAATCGAAGGTAAACTTAGCAAGATGCGATTATTAAATAATTTACTTTCCCATGTATAATCGGGAACTGGTCCAAACAATTCTCTATACGCAGGCTCAGCAAACCAATCAACATTCACATATCTCAAAGTCTTATTTTTCATTTTTCATTTTCACCACTGCCCGTAAAATTAGCATATAGGAAAATCGCCTTGCAACCCACAATAAATTTTATAACTAAGCAAAGTTAATATAAATGCCAAATTTAACGTCCACATTTCACATACTGCAAAAAGTATTGCGTTTGTGGAATTTCAGTTACTCTGTTACATTTTATTATGAGTGGAAAATGTCTAATTTTAAACGGCATATGTGTAACTAGAATGAAGAAAGGAGAATGTATTAAAAAAACACATACATTTGGGCAATAAAGGACACTGACACACGTTGCAGGAACTTTGGTATTTTCTCCACTTCCAGTAACATTTGCAAACAATAGATTTGTGTTTCCCCGAATAAAGACACAATTGGAAGTTAATCATAGTAATTGAAATTTCTTTTCATTTAAAAAAATCACATGTAAGATATTAGATCATAATAAAATTAATTGGGTTAATTAAAGCCTATCATATGAGCGATCAGAATTTTGTGGTGTCAAGGTAAAATAAAAGTAGTATATTAAGTAACAAGTGGCTAAACGAGGGCATTACGGTCATTACGGGTGAGCGGTCAATCAATCAAGTCTTTAACACCGTGAAGCCACGTGGTGCTTACATTATTTTTTCTACTTCCACTCTAGTTCCACGTTGCGGTTTTTGTATTTCTACTTTTGCACTTTAAATCATCAAAATTTGCTTGCACACTACTACAAACCGTAAGGTTATAAATGACGTGCCGCGCGCTCCGTTGCGTGCATTAATGCATGTACATAATGAATTTGCTCTACGGTTTTTCCGTCCGTATATAAAGTACCACGTTTTGGGTCTAGATAAACTGGCGTTTTATAGGTGGAATAATAAAAATATAATTGTTTTATAGGAATCTGATATGAAATATCTAATGAAAAAAAAAATGGTTGTTTGTAAAGTAGGTTTACGATCGAGATGTTTACGTGATAACGTCTTATTGGTGATATAAGTTTTGTTTGTTTCAATTGTTGTAACACTTCACTTGCACTTCACATTTTGTTTTACTGTTAGGCTCCCCGCACACTACAAACTTTTTATCGGCCGATAAAACATTCAACGAAAACTTAACCGCACGAGAAAATCTCCATTCGTTTGTATGCCGCTAGAGTGAGAGAGACGGAAGATCGGTCAACTCACTCGAACGCTATGACTGGCACGGAATGACTGGCAGCGCTCGAGATGAGACGGGAGATCGGTCCGTCTCTCTCTGGTTATAACGAGAGGGGGGTATACCTGCGATCGACCTCGCTCGTGACACAGTTTCTGAACAGGTCACCCATAAAACGATTTTAAAGACGTTATCACGTCAATAATTGTAAATATCAAGAGAATAATGTTGAAATAAAAACTTGAAATTGTTTTTAATTGTTTACATCGTTTTATGAGCATGTGAAGCACTTTTGAAAGGAAATATTGAAGTTGAAGACATAAAAAAAACATTAAAATGAGATTTTTCATCTTTTGTTGCCTTGATAAACTCTCAAAAGTATCTAAAACAAGATAAAATTGTTTATTATGTACTATGTTGCTGTATTTAACAATTTAAAGAATAATTTTGTTTATTTATCATAAAGTTTTCCTTTGTTTAAATACAAAACAATTAAATTACACTTCTTTTAATTTTTTTCTAAATCAAAATTTGATTTTTTGTTAGTTTTTAATGATTAAATAATTAATTATTTTGATTAGTATATTATTAGTATATTATTAGAATGATTTTTATGATTATGTAATATGTTGATTGTTGATTATTGACTAGTTTTAGTGCTTATACTCGTACTCGTAGTAAAGTTAGAGAAGTCAGAGCGAAGCAAAGTTTCACTTTGACAGATGTGAGATGGTCGGTCATTGGTTAATGATTGATTGAAGATGAAAGATGAATTGCATTTCCTTGTTTCTAGCATGTGTATGTGGAAATATAGACTTTCTGAAATATATCCTGTATTGATAAATAAATATTTATAAGCTAGTAAAGTATTTAAAAATATTTTTCTTTTAAATTTTGTGTTTTCTGAAGAAAACTTTATTTAAAAGTACTTAGAAATTACTATAAAGTAATAAAATTTATATTCAATATCCGGTTTGTATTATATTTTTATAAACTACAATCATTTTTGTAATATCTCTATTAGTTTATAATTAATTAACAATTTTCTAAAGTGAATTCGCGACGCAGCTGCTTTGCGCGCCAATAGCAGTGAAATACTTTAGTTATTAATTAATATCTTAACAACCATTGAAGAAAAATTAATTATTTTTTTGGTAAGCGATTTAATATTAAATTCTGAATGAATTTTACTAAAAATATTATTAATAATTAAATTCTATAACAAATTAAACAATAATTTACATCAATTTAAAATAATTTGACAACATTTGAGTTTAAATGTTTATAACTTTGTTTGGGATAGCCTTACAACCAATCTTAATAAAGATTAATAAAGAATTTAATAAAGAATAAATATTTTTGAAGTAATTGACAAAAAACTAAAAACATTTTTAATAGTTTTTAATCAATTTCTGAAGTGACTTAACTATAACTGTGAAATACTTTAGTTATTTTATTAATATCTTAACAACTAATAAAGATAATTTAATTATTTCTTCAGTACTTGATTTAATATTAAAATTTGATTGAATTGCATCGAAAATATTATTAATATTAATATTTTTTAACAAGTTAAACAATAATTTATATCAATTTTAAATGTTTTGACATAACTTTATTTTAAATGTTAATAAATTTATTAATAACAATCACAGAAACAAATTACTTATTAAAATCGATAAAAGATTTAATTAAGAATCAATTTATAAAAGTATGATGAACTTTGCATAAATAGTTTTCGAGTAATTGACCATAAAACTACAAATATTTTTAATACTTTCCCGGCTCAAATAAAAAGAAAAACCATAACTTTAACCGCATATAATTAAACTTACACATCACTTACAAACTTAAATTTTTAATTACCCAACCAAACAATTATTTAACATTAGCAACAATTCAATAAAAACTACAAAAAATATCAACAAATCTAAATAAAACGCACTTTTTATCATCAAACGGAAACAAAAACCCAAATCTCTATATTTATCAATCACTAATTTAGTATTTAGTTAAATAACACACATTTATAAACATTTACAAAAAAAATACCAATCAAAACCCAAGATTACCATTCATTTACCCAAGAAAGTATAAGAAAAAACGCAAAAATAAAACATAATTAAATGATTACACATCAAACCCGCTCATAAAAAAAGATGAGAAAATTACCCAAATTAAAAACACTTGACATTTTATATCAAAGTCACCAAGTAATTTTTAAAATTACACAATACATTACACACGTAATATAATTATAGAATCCTTCATTATTTATTATTCATCACATCAAATAAGTGACACACGTCAAAAAAATAAAAATATTTTTGATTTCAGAAAATTTTGATTACTCATCAAATAAAATGGGTGTAACAGCACAACCCCCACAGCAAATCACCGACCATCACCTCAAACACCCCCCGAATGAAACCAACAACAATAAAAACGTAGTCCTACGCCATAACTCCATCAACAACTCTTTGAATACAAAAAGTTTGTACATATCCAACGCTGAAGAACTAAAAATCACCGATTTCTATCGTGGTTTGAACATATTCATCACGGGAGGCACCGGATTCGTAGGTAAATCAGTCATTGAGAAACTCCTACGCACTTGTGATGGCATCGGCAACATCTACATGCTTATCAGAGCAAAACGTGGCATGAATGCCTTGACACGTCTTCAGGAATTATTCAAAAACCCTTTATTTGAAAAAATCAAAGAAAAAGATGAAACTTTATTAGAGAAAATCATCCCTATCGAAGGGGATGTTTCTCTTCCGATGTTGGGTATCTCAGAGGAAGCTAAACGTCTATTGGTTGAGAATGTGCATGTGGTGTTTCATTCAGCTGCAACTGTGAGGTTTTCTGATTCGTTGAAGACAGCGATTGTGTTGAATACGCAAGGGACCAAGAGGATTCTTGAGCTGGCGATGGAGATGAAGAAGTTGAAGAGTTATGTGCATGTCTCGACGGCGTATAGTAATTCGGATAAGGATAATGTGGATGAGGTGGTGTATGAACCGCCGGCGAATCCGTATCATATGATTAGGTGTGCGGAGACGTTGAGTGATGAGGCCATGAGTCAGTTGGAGAAGTTGGTGGTTACCAAGCATCCGAATACTTATACGTTTACCAAGGCGATGGCGGAGAGTATTGTGCAGGAGTATGCTGGGAAGTTGCCCACTGCGATTGTTAGACCTTCGATTGGTGAGTTGGGAGGTGGAGTTTTGAGGGTTGTAACTTTGGTAGTTTTGATAGTATAGGGGTGTGGTTAGGATAAAACGATGTGAAATTTTATTGGGGATATGATGGTGTTTTGAAAATTTATGTATGCTTGTTTGTTTGGGAGTTATTTGAGGTTTTGTAAAAAATTTCGAAAAATTAGAAATTTTTATTAATTTGTTTTTTAACACCCTGTAACTTTTTATTGAGTATAGTTAGAAAAATGGGGTAAAAGTTTTATTGTAGATAATTTATTTATCTATCAATTTGTGTTTGCAGTCTTTGATTATCTTTGTTTGTTTATTAATTATTTATGTTTTTCTATGATATGAGCATAAAGTATATCTATACAAAAATTGTAGGAAATTTAGTCAGTTTTAAATCCTTATAACTCAGTAAATATTTGATATATAACTAAGTGCTTTGATCTAGTTTATTTAAAATTTAAATATTTATATGACTAGCTATTTATATTTTCATAATAATTTATATTTTATTGATTATTTAGGGTTTTCTGTGAAAATGACTAAGAATTGCATTTTTTGTGAACGTAATTTTCAACACCCTGTAACTTTTACTAGAGGATAGCTACAAGTTTGTGTTAGGGCTCAAATTATAGATAATTTAGGTATCTATCAACTTCCGTTTATGGATTTTAGGTATCTTTTATCAATTTGTTTTAAAATGAAAAAAATTAGCTCATTTCCAAAATATTTTTTTCTTATTCCGTTTTGTAAATTTTGTCATTTTTCTTTTGCTTATAACTTAGTCAATTTTTATCCCATCATTAAAAGATTCAGTGTAAAAGATGAAGAATTTAATCGGTTATAAGTGTAAATTTAAAGAATTCTATAATAATTAATATTTTAGAAATTATTTTGATTTTACTATCAATATGATATAAAATCGTAATTTTTTTTAAATCTAACTTTAACACCCTGTAACTATTTTTATACAGCATCTACAAAAACCAACCCTATGTCATATGAAAGACAATTTAAAACTCTATAAAACACAGTTTATTCAATATTTCTATCTTAATTACTTTCTAATAAAAATAAAATTTTCTAAAAAATTTCAATTTTCTTCATTTTCTAGTTACAAACGCTTGGAAAGAACCCTTTGAAGGTTGGATAGACCACTCCACTGGTGTGACAGGCATCATGATGGAGATGGGCCGTGGTGGGGTGCAGATCGTCTATGGCGACTACGACAATCAGATGGACATTGTTCCCGTGGACTTTGTGACCAATACACTGATAACAGCCGCGTGGCACACAGTGGCGAAACGCAGCAATACGATGCGTATCTATAACTGCACCTCAGGGCATGATAACAATATCACATGGGGTGAATTCAGCCAAATGACAGTTGCGTCTGCGCGCAAGTTTCCCTCCAAGTATATCACCTGGTATCCGCAGGTTATCTTCACGAAGAACAGATTCTTCTATTATTTGATTCAAATGTTTATGCAGAGGGCGCCAGCTCTGTTAGCGGATCTTTTGTTAATCTGCACAAGGAGGAAACCTATGTAAGTTAATATTTTGGTATTACAAGTATTTATTTAGGGGTTAGAATTGAGGTTATGTTGATTTAAGTCAATGATAGACGTAGAAATGTGTCGTATTTTGTTTGTCAACTTTGATTGCTCATATCTTTGTGGATATTGCAGGTAGGAGTTTGTTTTAAAGTTTAAATAATAGAGAATTTAATACTTTATTAGTATTTGTTTAGTTTTTATTTAAAACATTTTGCATTATTTGGTTATTTTAAATTTAGTAAGATCATGTTTTAAAACTAGTTAAAATATTAGTACATTTTCAACACTCTGTAACTTCTTAGCTGATAAGTATAATTTTTATCAGTAAATTTGACTTGATAGATAATTTAATAATCTATATACTACACTTTAAAAATTTCAAAAAAATCAAAAACTCCAAAAGTTACAAACAATTTTCTACGCAATTTCAAATTACAACTCAAAATCTACCATCACTATAACTTTAAGTCAGTTTAAAAGTGACTTAAGTCATCAAAAACTACTATTTCATAAACATAATATCCAACCCTCAATGCAAACACTAATTTAGCCTATTTTAGTCTCAGTCAATGTGACTTAAGTCATATTAAAACAGATTTTTCGATGTTTTTGTTGTAGAATGTATCGATTTGCGAAAAAAGTCGAGCGCAATGTAAAGATCGGCGAGTTCTTTGTGAGCTCCAAGTTCAAATTCGACGTGAACAACCTCGCCGAGCTCCAAGGGGACGTGCGGGCCGCCGCCGACGGTGACAACTTCCCAATGGACGTCTCCAAACGGCATCTGGATTGGCGGAAGTACAACGAGCTGTGCATGCTCGGTATTCGGCGGTCTGTGCTCAAGGACGACATCAGCAGCCTGCCGCATGCAAGGCGGCGACTTAACGGGTAAGGAAACTTGGCTTAAGTAATTTTACTCAAGTCATAAAAATTTTATTATTTTATTCTTATATTATTTGAAGTTAAGGGTTGGAAAAAGCTGTATAAAAGTGACTTAACTTAAGTAAAGTGTCTTAAGTCATATTACTTAAGTCACAATTTTTTTTTTTTGGAAGCTAAGGGCTTAAAAATTAATTTTTGGAAATTTTTAACAGTGACTTAATTTAAGTATAGTTTGGTCAAAGTGACTTAAGTAAGTTTAAATCGAGCAGAAGTTGCAATTCGCGTTCAATTACAAGTTCAATCTGAGGGTTCAAGGCGCAAAAAACTGCATTTCAAGTGGTGACCTAGAAGAAGTTGCTTAAGCAGGTTTTACTTAACTTAAGTCGTACTTCCAGACACATTTATCTTACTTTTGTTTTTTTCTTTTAATCATTCAATGAAAATCTCATAGAAATCACATCATTTCAGCCAATTAAAAAACATTCCACTGACTTAAGTCACATTACTTAAACTTTTTTCCTTAAATTTTCAGATATTATTGGTTAAAGAAAATCCTCCAACTGCTCAGCGTGTACGTCCTGTTAAAGATGACCATCTGGTAGTCATTAAACAATCAACAATCAAACCTTACTTAACTCTTATTACTTAAAATAGTTTAACGTTATTTTTAAGCTATGTTTAAGTAAAGACAAAAACAAAAATAATTGAGTTATTGAGGATAATAATATAATAATCAATCAACCGTCCATTAATTATTACTTAATTAAGTACGAGTAAGTTTAGAGCATGATAAGTGTACTTAAGTATTATAAAGTGTCTTAAGTGTACTTAAAAATTTTAAACGAATGTATTGTTATTGTATTTTGGAGAGTTTAATGTGTCAATGGAAATTCATGTTGATTGAAGCAGTTGAATGGTGTATCACCACGTTTTCGGGGATGTTTAAACTGTTGATGATTAAGGGTTGTACTTTATTCTATGGTCAATTATATATTGTGTATGATATTTATAAATTGTCATCAATATACTTATTGAAAAGTATGGTTATGTGTGTTATTTACTATCTATAATACGGTAAAGTGTTATTTTTGTGTGTTTGTTCTCTTTTCATGGTTATACTAATGAACCAATATTGATGAAATTTGGTATGTGGAGGGGGTAGTTGATGGAAAAGGATATGAGCTATTGATAATTAAAAAAATTATAGTCAGAAAGGGCGAAATAAGGGATGAAAGTTTTTTTGGAAGGCAAATATATTATTTGAACTGAGATTGCATTAAAATACATGTTTTTTATTTATTTCTATTTTGTTTATTTCAAAAATTATTTCTATATTTTTTTCTACAATTTTTTTAATTTAAAAATTGGCAATTTTTTAATTTATTATTACATTTTTTTTCATTTAATTAAGAAATTTATTTTTTAAATTATTTTAATATGAATAATCTACTGCACATATGATATTTACTACAGAATATAACAAAATAGACGATTTTTGTATGTTTGTTACCCTTTCACGCTTATACCGGTCAATCAATTTTGATGAAATTTGGTATAAATGCAGATTAGGACTTGGAAAAAGCCATGAACTACTTTTTGTCTTGAAATTTATACTTTGAAGAGGTAATATAGATGATGAAAGTTTTCATACAAAATATATATGGTGGTAATTTATTTTTTGAGAATTTTTACTAATTTTCCGTACTAAATAGCCCCGGAAAGATTTTTAATTATAATTTAATATTAATAAATAAGAAAATCAAACAAATTATCTTCAGAAATAATATTTATTTAGTGTATACTTTCAATTACAAATCATTTTCTCCCGAATTGTCTTCCCCGTCCAAATCAAAATTCCAGTGAGTCGATGTTTCGGTTGATGTCTTATCAGTTACTTCTTCTGCTTCAGCTGCGTTTGAAACAATCTCTGTTGATATCATGTCTGTTTCTTCTTCTGTTTCAGGTATATTTGTTGTCGTTTCAGTTGGTGTATTATCAGTTATTTCTGCTGATTCAGTTACATTTGATGCAGTTTCTGTTGATGTATTATCAGTTACTTCTTCTGTTTCAGCTTCATTTGTTGTTGCTTCTGTTGGTCTGAATATTTCAGTTGTCTCTGTTGTTTCAGTTGATACTTCTATGTCCTCTCCTTCACTTGTTATCGCCCATGGTACGGTTGGTGTAGGCTTACTCGTATGAATCCCTTTACAATTCTTCTTCTTGGAGAGGCGTTTCTTGCAATATTTATCAAAGGTTTTTAGAGCCCCACAAATGTCCACTGTAAACAAATATGATTATAATTGTGATTAGATTTGATATAATTGAAATTAATAATTATGTAAGTATAATTTATTTTACCATCAGTGCTTTCACTAGCTACCCATTCGGTTGCAATTGGTTCCATCAGTTTACAGAATGATTTATGGTAACGGCGACTTTCTAGTAATCCGGATAGTACTTGAGCATCAGCTATAAACAAAAGTATCTAATTTTAGAATTATTAAATATATTTTTTTCTTTATGGTATTGGATTGATTTGGAAAAATGCGCATAATTTTTTTAATTATTTTTGGAAAATCCATAAATTTATGTTGTAAGTGCATTTATTTGTGAACAGCAGCAGCGCATGTTTTGGTCTTTTGCTACACAGTATGTCTAATGCGCAGACGCATGCTCCACCCTGAGAGTAAAACCCGTGACTAAAGTACTTTATTGCAGCCTTGGTCATCCGTGTTTAAAGTACTACTTTTTGTTTTTGACACCATGGAAAAAGTAGTGCTTTAAAAGTGGAAATTGAAAAAATAAATACTTACTTTCTGGAGTGTACAAGCTGATCACTACCAATGCCATAACAAAAGCGACCTTCATTATTGCAAGTTATTCGCAGAATAGACTCAAACACAATTGGAAGAAAAGTCATTTGTATAAATTATATATAGTTTAAAAAAGTAATAAAAAAACATGCTGCAATAAATATTTCTTGACTTTTTAATAACACCTTTCTTTAATAAATTATATTATTTATTAGTGTAATTGTGTAAAAAACAAAAACTGTGTAAAAATTTTAGGAAAGTTATCAATCAAATAATAATAATTATTATTATTAGTAAGGTTATATTGAATTACGGTAATATTCTCATTATTTGGCACTAAATTTTAAATTAAAGTCAAATTAATAAAATAACAATGAAAAATAATAATGTTATTAACATTAGCATAAAATTATCGAAAAAGATGCCAAAACTGCATGTGACTAAAGCTAGTGACTAAAGCATTTTAGTCACCACCTTTAACATCCGTGTTTAAAGTGTCGCTTCCAACATTTAAAAACAATAATTAAATGACAGTAACTAAGGAAATTTTAAATCTGTTAACGCAAGTTGGTAAACAAAAAAATTATTTATAACTTAATCCCAACACAACACAAATGTTTAACTTTACTCTGCCTATATAGTTATAGGATGGTAAAAATTAAGTTTATAAAAATAAAATACGAAAACACAGTAATCATTCATGTATTAAAGTCAATCTGTTTTTATTCATGAACAACTCTTGTAACATTATCAGATTTCTAAATTATTAGTTTTTAGCATGACCCTTGCTCTTAGAGTGGGCTTTGTTAGCCTTAGACTTGGATTTAGCTCCCTTGGATTTATGGGAAGCCTTAGATTTATGATTGGCTTTGGCCTTTGATTTAGCCCCTTTAGACTTATGGTTAGCCTTGGACTTAGAGTGAACTTTAGCTCTAGTTGCCGGAGTGGATGCATCACCAGTTTCAGTATTAGTTGGGGTTGGGGTTGGGGTCTCAGCTTCAGGGTTTCCAGTTATTTCGTCTTGAACTCCAGGTGTTTGGTCAGTATCAGTACTGAGATCGGTACTGGGATCCGCGGAGGGTTCTTCAGTTGATGGGCTACTGATTATGGTACACTCAGTGGTAACACCTTCAATAGGTCCTTGGGTTGATGGATCGGTGGAGATTGGGATGTCGATTCCACAATTTGGAGTGGAAGGTCCTTGGTTGTCTCCATCACCATTTCCATCACCATTATCATCGCTATCACCATCACCATCTCCATTACCATCACCGTTACCATCACCATCACCATCGCTATCACCATCTCCATTACCGTCTCCATCACCATCACCGTCACCATCTCCATTTCCATTTCCATCACCATCACCATCACCATCACCATTACCATCACCATTTCCATCACCGTCCCCATTTCCATCTCCATCTCCATCTCCATCTCCATCACCATCTCCATTCCCATCTCCATTTCCATCTCCATCTCCATTTCCATCACCATCACCATCCCCATCTCCATTTCCCTCATTATCTCCATCACCATCTCCTTCCTCCTTACCATCACCATCACCCTCCCCATCACCTCCAGGTCCTTCAGGAACACCATCACAATTTGTCCTCAATGACAAATTCTTATCACATTCCTTGTCGAAAGCCTTCAAAGCTCCACACATATCCGCTATAAAAACAATTGTTTACAAATCATAACTTTTAAATTAAACTATAAAAGAAAAACTATCATACCATCAATTTCTTCACCAGAAACCCATCCCACAGCAATTGGTTCCACCAGTTTACAAAACGAACGATGATGACGCTTATGATCACCTCTAGCTCTCACCAAAGGAGAAATCGTTGCTGCATCTGTAACAAATCATCATATTTACATCATAATCAAACATAATCAAACATAACCTAACAAAATTTTATAACTGCTATTTTTTTTAAGGTTGTAATTCACTTACTTGATTCTGCATACAAGCAGCACACCACGAACGCAAAAACAATAGAAATCTTCATTGTTACTACTTGTCAAGTAATGAACAAGAAATGAAACAATAATTCTGAGTCTGAAGTGTATTGCAGTTTATATACGCCAAAAAGAAATGCGAAAACTTTTTGTTAAATAGTTTAGTATAGTTAGCGGAGTCAATTTTGGTTAAAAGTATTCTAAACCGACGAAAAACGCATTAAACTTGCTTCTGAAAATGTTTAAGCATGTTAGAATGGAATTTGCAGTTATTATTTTAAATAGATTTTTATCAAAAGGAATTATTAAGTAAAGTTAAGTTAAGATAGTTGCAGTTGCATAAACATGTAATTTTCTTGTTATTTAAAAATTTTCCAGGAATTAAAATGAAGTATAAATTAAAAAAATTAAATTATGCATTGAGTAAGCAAAAATACAACAAAACACTTTTTGATATTAGTGGAACCCATTTTTCTACAACTGATTCTGCGTCATTAATTATAATAGAAAACTTTGTATTTGTGTTCTTTTATTCTCCCGCAAGATAATCCATATACGCAAATATGTTTGTCTTTTTTTAATGTAGTTTAGTGCCTTTTTAGAAAAGTTTTCACTTCAAAAGTATCCCATTACCTTCTCCTGGCCCTAAGCTACTCTCTCCACCAATTTTAGCTAAATTGGATTAGCCGTTCTTTAGTTATAAGCAAGGTAACTAAACGACTTTCTTTTTATATATACATATATATATATATATATATATATATATATATATATATATATATATTAGTTTTAGATTAAGTTTTTCCATTAAAATATAAATTATTCTTAGAATTTGCCATAGCAGTATTTTCCTGTAAAGTACAAGGAAAGACACAATTGCTGTTAGCTAATGTTACTGGAACGAATGTTCAGGTTCGTGCAACGTGTCTCAATGATGATTACAATGACGCAATTACATGGATCACACAACGGACCAACATGATTGAACCAATTTCAGGTAATTAAATATTCATTGTATATGTATTAAAATTCTAGTGAGCTAAACACAACACTTTAGTCATGTGATTCAATCGATTTAATCGAGTATTTAACAACGGTTAGTGAAGTGATGCTTACTATATTATTTTGTGTTTGAATTTTTGTATTTTAAAACTTTAAATCGACTTTCCGCACTACCAGGAAATATAATTTTCTAAATTCATAAGAATAAGTGTGACTTTCGGCGCATGACATGTCATATGGCCATGTGCACCGAAATCGAATGCGCAGACATTAGCTTTACCGATGATTATTGCCCGTGACTAAAGTGCCACGTTTTGAACCTCAAAACCGTGAAAAAAACAATTTCAAATAGAAGTAGAAAAAATATTATTAAACACAAATAATAATCTTACTTTAAAGGTAGTGAATCTCTGCGCAACGTTAATTTTAATTGGAAAAAGAATGGGTGGGACAAAGATGGAGCCTACAACGCAACGTTTGGTCCAGTGATGGATTATACTTGGGAAGTAATATTTTAATTTAATATATTTTATAACATATTATTAATTAATTTTTTTAGTGTTTCCAATTGTCATGACTAAATCGGCGCAACAGACACAATATTATAAATTTGAAAAAATAGGCGAAATTATTATTCAGTATCGTTTTGAAATTAATTTATCGTTTTTGGGAAAATCAAATGCACAAATTTACTTGTGTTCAAACCGATTAATAAAAAGAGGAAAATGCATTATTTTTATTGTGAGTGGATGGAATAGGGGAGGAAGTGTTATAAAAAAGTGTAGAAAAGGAGCATCGCCTACCAAATTCCGAGATAGTTTGGAAGAATGTGAAATTATTGGCAATAAGGTATGCAATGCTAAATGTCACTAATGAGATATAAATAGAACATTTTTAGATCAAACATAAACCACTGCTTTCAATTGATTATTGGAGTCAAATTTCTATTCAATACATAAATCAACAATTAGCAGTTATAATCAATGATGAACATTTATTAACATATCAGGCAAAATTTAATGAAGAATTTAATAATTTTACAAAAATATTCATATCTTCAAATACCGAAGATGCACTATGGAAATATCATGACTGTATGTAAACCAATTTTAATGCAAATATGTTTTATGCCAAATGCTGCATTATTATTTTAGATACTTATTATGAAGCTCGTAAGCCAATTAATAATTTTATTAATAGTAATTGGTTCTATATGGATTCTAGTCACTTGTGTATTTCGTTTTTTGCAAAATTTACCAAAGATATTACATTACAACTCTATGATGTGTCACAAGAGCTCATCAAAACTGAATACTATAAGAGTGATCAAAACACACAATGGAATTATAAAACATTTTATTCGGACGTGTATGAAGATGCTGAATATTATTTACGCATTACGTTTAGTCCTAGTGATAACATAGCAATTCGAAACACTGTCAGACATTTAGACTGCAAAGGAAGTAAAACAGACAAATTCCAGTTTTCATCATTAGAGTACAACTTTGATTCAAGAAATATTATCAAATCTTCGACACAAAACCCCACAATTTAAAATTTCATTTCCAAATGAAAGTACCGAATTTTTCTCGAGTGATAATCAGAATCATTGTAATAATATATAATATATAATATATATATATATAATATATATAATATATATACCCAGAATATCGTGTACTGAGGAATCATGTTACTGTTCAATAGGATACACCGGCAAATATTGTGATAAAAGTAAATACTGCAATCAAATATCATGTCCAATAATAATAATTATAATTTGTTTCAGAGTGCAAAAGAGGAAAATATGGATGTAATTGTGCTGGTGAATGCGCTAATTGCATTTCAAACTTTTGCAGTCCTATCAATGGTGAATGCTACTTTCGCTGTAATGATTTAAAATATGTTGCACCCTGGTGCACACTAAAAAATCTACCAGTGTTAAGTGGAATTGCATCTACTGAAACTGATTGTGTCACCAATTGCACAATTACAATCTACGATAATGAATTAAAATATGATGGTGCACAAGAACCAAAATATTATTACACTCGTGTATTTGAACCAAATGGAACTATTACAGAAGGAGACTTAACATCAATTAAAATCAATTTAGTTAATTTTAGTAATTTAATAAAAGAATCAAAATATAAGTATCAAATAGTTCTATGCGTAACCGATCAAAAATCAAACTGTTACAATGAAGATTTGACAACATTTTATTTGAAGACAACATGCAAAGGTATTTCAAGTCATAAAAATATATACAACACTGTATTATTTCTTGTAGGTTTGAACAAGAGTCAAATTTTGATTGAGAGTTTCAGCACTCATACGACAATAAATGTAACATTTACAAGCAATTACAACATGTTGATTATCAATGAAGCTAATGTAATAGCAGTATCTCCGAGACAGATAAAATTGAACAATTCGATAACATCACTAAATATATTTACTAATTATACGCTTCAACTGATTAGAAATGACGAAATAACACATAGTATAATGTTTACCACAGATGAATCAGGTAAAATAAAATATGCGGTAGCTTGTTTCTTTTTTAAACTTCTTGTTGCAGTTCCAAACAAAATCAGAAACTTAACAACTATTACTTCCACACCTAGTAAACTTAGTGTTGTCTGGGAAGCACCAGCACCTGACCACATTACCTATTATGTGGTCACATGGATGGTAAATGACCCATAAACCAATGTAAAAGTGTCTCTAATTGTCAAATTATAATTTCAGTTTATTGATAAAACGAGGTTGTAGAATTGCAAATAACACATCAAATATCCAATCCAAGAATGTGACAAAAACTGCTATTGAATTAGATTATCTACAACCATATTCAATTTATAATATATCAGTATCAGCAGTTACCAAGAAGGGCCAAGGAGACCTTGAGACTGTTATAGGATACACAGATGCAACTAAGACAATTGACATAAACACGTTTAATAGTAATGTTACCACTTTAGAAACTTCGATACAAATAGGTTTAATTGTTGATTGTGAAAATTGGAATGGTCCAATGTATCTGAATGCATATGCTACCTGCAAGAGTGAGTGGTGTGATGGAGAAGAGATGAATAGGACTAAACCCATGCAATATTATGACTTAATTACACTTGATAGTTTGCTTCCATATACTAATTACAAATTGGAAGTATATATATTTTGTAATAAACTGGATGCAATTAATGATTATAACAAATTTATGTCAACTGCTGTGATGACGTTATCAAGTGGTATGTTCCCTTGGACTTAGTTTCAAAATATTACACTTTTTAATTTAATGTTGATTTTAGTTCCAAATCAAATTCCATTTGCGGAAGTATATAGTTTATCAGAAACAAGTTTATCATTGAGGTGGAGTCCACCTTATCCACCAACTGGAATTTTGGATTCATATATAATAAAATATTATTACTCTTTAGGCACGTCCCAAACATGTATTAATTCTTTGAGTGCATGTAAAATATGGCCAAATATGTATTGCACTACATTAACTAATCTTACCACAAACAAGAACTACATAATTTCAATTGCTGGGCGTAATCAAGATATATCTGAATTTGGATTGGATTGGAGAATCTTAAACGAAACCACATTAATTGGAGGTAATTTGTGTTATTATAAAACAATTCTAAATAAATTTGGTTGCAAAATGGAATGAGTCGAAATTTCTTCATTTGCAATGGCAATATCCCAATAAAACAAATGGGCCTTTCTTTGGATTTAAAATTCATATTAATTATCAACAATATAATGACACATCACCAGAAAACAACACATACCTATACTTATGAAGTAGGTAACAGTTGACTTCGATATAATATCGCAATTCAATATAATTATCTATAATCCTCAAAAAATAATTATATATTTAATTGTTTCTTTATTTTTTGTTTTAGACGCCATTTCAGTGTAAACTTGATACTCATCAGGCAATCCTTTCTATACAAACAGTTAACTCAAAATTTACTTCTACAAAGCTTACTCAACAACCGTTTTTAAGACGAAATGTCAACGAATCCATAACTATTTCAATACCAGCTATTGATGAAATGATGAAGCAATAAGCAATTTGTACATTATTCTTCTTATCAATGAATTGAACGATACAGGTAATTGCAGAGAAAAATTAGCAGATATGCATAAAGCACTTGTTCCAATTAAAGAAAAACAGAGTACATAGTTGGATAGTTGGGCACTACATAAAGAGGGAATTCAAATAAATTGCAGAAACAAAAGTAAATATTAACATAACACAATTACCCGGATTTAATTGTACTGAAGAGTTTTGTGAAGTGGGTATATTGATAGTCAATGAGCTGAGGGACCAAATATGAGCTAATTGGTATTTCGTAGACCAGTGCATATCGAATGATATCGGATGATCAAATATTCAGTTCATTCAATTTTCGAATTTATTCTTATTTCATTAGTAATAAGTAGTAGTATGCTTTCTATAAGGGCATGTACACGTTAAAGTAGAAAGGTAGACAAAAACCCATCAATATTGTAAAATACAAGACATCAATGGTAAATTTACCCCCCAATTAATATACAGTAGAATCCCAGTAATCCGACAATCACTATGCAGGGCAGCGTCGGATTAGCAAATTTGTCGGATTATAGAGTACTGCTTCAGACCCCCTACAGTCCGGAATTTTTTATAAAATAGTACCTTGTAATCCAACAAATTTCAGATCCAATCACAAAATTCTATATTTTATATAATATATTATATTTTATATATATATATATATATATATATATATATGTACTCTGAAGTACAAATCATACTTCATTATGTATGTCAAATATAGTAAGACCATGTCGGATTACAAGGTGTACCGGATTAGACAAGGTACGGATTACCGCGACTCCACTGTACTCACATAAAATAAGAAAATTAAGTTTACTGAAAATAAGAATGAGAAATGCGTTTAGCAGAGTATTTAGATGCTAGCCACATAGATGTAAGATTTATTAAGGGGAATCACTTTAATCAATTTTATCAATTTAATCAATTTCTAATTTAAAGAATCAGTCTGAGTTTCTGTTTGGTTCTGTCAGAAATACTTTGCTCATACAAGAAGCACCATCTATTAGATGATTGAAGTGATTGGTGGACCACCGGAGCAGTGGCTTACGCTGAGATACATAGTATGTATTAGGTACATACACTCTTGTGTATAGCTCTGCACTGTTAACACGTACGTTTATACGCTCTGTGTTTGAGATAGAATAAAGCTGCAACTACATAGTTAGTTGTATATATTAATCACCAGTGTCGTATTGTTACTTAAATAGTCATTCTTCCTATATATTCCAAAATTTTGCAAATAGTCCTTCAGGTTCCAACTGTTTCTAATCACTACCAGTTTTGGAACATGATCATTGAAGAAGAAGTAGAAAGCATTGTATTTTTTGCTTCTTCAATACTGACCTGACCGTGGCACAATTAAATCAAATTTTCTCTTAAATATCAAAGTATCCGCAATATGAGTATACACATTTAAAAATTACCAGATACACTATTACAGACTTCAGCTCTTCAGACTTTTAGCTTACCCATGTGAATATTATCCAACAATTTATTAAACACTAGATAAAGAATAAAGCTGGTATTTTTGCAAATCAAACCCAGGAAAAGTGCTGGGCACTTTATTACTCCAAATGATGTAACAGTAATTTATTAAAAAGGTTTTGAATCAGTTCATTTCTACATGCACACTTTCTAAGCACACATTCAAGTCTAAGAATATAAACAAATATACATAATTGAAGTTAAAGGATGAAACGTATGCCAAGTGTTGCCTCATAGTTTGACCATTTTGCTGACAATTAATTTTTGATTAAAAAAGAATAACTATAAAATAACATCGGCACACTCCGAAATTAATGGGAATAGTTGTTTTTAAAAATACATTTTTTAAAGGTCAACTTTGGATAAAATTAAAGCTATTTGAAAATTAAAAAAGGTAATTTTTCGAAATTTTCATAACTTTTTTGAGGTTAGGGGAATGAAATTGAAAAAAAATTTACTAAATGTATCTCGAAGGAAAAAATAAATAAAAAAATTTTAAGCTAAATCTAAAGGGCGTACACCTGACGTTATTTTCAATTTGAATTTGATGCCTTTGCAATTCTACAATAGGATTTACAATTTACAGTGATGTGTGTTTTAGTATGATTTAACCTACCTTCACCTTTCACCTACCTAGTTTCAAATTGAAATGTTGTCAAGTCCTCACTGAAACACACTGATTTTTTCTCAGTCACACATAAAACTATTTCATAGTCATATTTATATTCTTTAATTAAATTGGTAAAATGAATAACATTAGCTTTAATTGATGTTATTTCTCCTTCTGTAATTGTTCCATTTGGTTGCGAGTGTAAAAATATTTTGGTTCCTGGACACCATCATATTTTAATTTTTTATCGTAGATTGTAATTTTGCAGTTTGTGCTGCAATCAGTTTCCGACCATATAACACCAGTTGCATGCAATACTGGTCGATTTCTTTGTTTGCAGAAAGGTGCAACATATTTTAAATTATTACACCCAAAGTAGCATTCACCATTTACGGGATTGCAAAAGTTCGAAATGCAATTTGCACATTCACATGCACAATTGCATTCATATTTTCCTCTTTCACACTCTGCAACCAAACAAAAACAGTTATGCTTGCGAGAATTCTTAATTGATATCTTTACTTATTTCACAATATTTTTCGGTGTACCCTGTTGAACAATAACATGAATCCCCATTACACGTTATGCTGTGTGTAGTGTTGAAGAATTCAGTACATGCATTACATTGATTTTGATTATTATTTGAGCAAACACCAGTACTCTCGTTTGGAATTGAAATTTTAAGTTGTGTAGTTTTGTGTCGAAAGGAAGAACATTTAATATTATTTGCTGAATCAAATTTATACTCCAGAGATGAACAATGAAATTTGTCTGTTTTACTTCCTTTGCAGTCTAAACGGTTGATAAGGTTTCGAATTGCTGTCTTGTTACTAGGACTAAACGAAATGCGTAAATAATATTCAACATCTTCATACACGTCTGAATCAAATGTTTTATAATTCCATTGTGTGTTTTGATCACTCTTATAGTATTCAGTTTTGATAAGCCCTTACGACACATCATAGAGTTGTAATTTAATATTTTTGGTAAATTTGGCAAAAAACGAAAGATACAAGTGACTAGCATCCATATAGAACCAATTACTATTAATAAAATTATTGATTGGCTTACGAGCTTCATAATATGTATTTAAAATGATAAAACAAGACTTGCATAAAACATATTATGCATCATAATTTGTTTTCATACATTTATGATATTTCCACATCGCATTTTTGGTATTTGAATGTATGAATAATTTTGTAAAATTGTTAAATTTACTATCATCTTTGGCATAATAAGATATTAAATGTATATCATTGGTTTTTACTTCTAATTGTCGATTTTTGTATCGGATAGAAATTTGACTCCATTGACCACTTGAAAACAATGGTTGATGCTCAATCTAAAAATGTCTTATTTACCCACAAGCATCATCTCAAAATATAAAATTTAAGATTGCGTACCTTATTTACCATATTCACGCATCCTTTCATTTTATTATTTGAGTTTATGGGTGATGCCCCTTCCTTGCACCGTCTTATAACACTTTCTTCTACATTCCAGCCGCCGACAATAAAAATAATGCATTCACCCCTTTTTATTAGTTGGTTTGAACACAAATAAATTTGTGCGCTTGATTTGCCCAAAAATAAAAAATTGATTTCAAAACTATTTCTGATGTTAATTTCTCCTATTTTTTCAAATTTATAATTTTGTGCAAGTTGTGCCGATCTAGTCATAATAATTGGAAACACTAAAAAAACTTAATTATTAATATGTTACAAAATATATCAAATTAAAATATTACTTTCCCAAGTATAATCCTTCACTGGACCAAACGTTGCATATTTCAATGTCCCACCCATATTTGTTCCAATTACAATCAACCTACTTGAGAGATTCATAAGCTTCAAAATTAAATTATTATATTTAAATATTATAATTGTTGCACAGCAATAAATTTTAACTAAGAAGAAGAGTTTATTATTAAACGCCAATAATAATCCAGTGTTGCTTGCTTTTACATATATCGAACTACCCTTGACAAAATAACGAACTTAACTGACTTACAAACACACAAGGTGGCTAGAAAGCTCCTAAGTCACTTGGACCCGGTAAATCCATAGATCCTGGCTCTCCCCGAATTCCTTTGAAATCCATGCCCCGATCATCCTTGATTTCAGGTGGTCCTGGAAGACCTGGTGGCCCTACAATCATTTCACCTTTTCTGCCTCCTGGCGGCCCAGGATACATTGCCCCTTGCTCATTTTTGTCAAACGATTTCTGCGTTTGTTTTCCACATACGCACAATTCGCTGAAATCCACCGCTTGCCTCCCACTGGTCGTTGACTTTGTTGCCTTCACACCGATGACATCCGAATCTTTTGGCCACTTCCCTAACAGAACCGTAAAATTGCCGTTGTTTGGCAATATAGGCACTTGCATCCATTTGAACAAAATCCATTTTGTACTGTAAAAAAACAACACTTTTTTTTGGAAAACATTTAATAAATTAAATAAAAACAAAAACAACATAAATAGAAATTAACTTACACAGTACATATTTCTTATTGTTTACAATTTAATAATAATTTTTATACAGTACCTTTTGACGAACAAATTACCTGCTAATTTTAAACATTTACACATGATTGACATCATTGATTATTTTACGATGAGAATTTTATTATTATGTCACTTGTGTCCTGATACGTAGGTAGTAAAAAAAACACAAAGTAGAGACGTCAATAATAGGGAAGAGAGGGGGAAAATGGGGGTAATTAATTTAGAGGTATATTTGTGAAAGTTTTTGAGTTATTTTTATAATGATTTTTAAGGGGATGATTTAGTATGTTTTCTGTTAAGTTGGACGCTAAAATGTGATGTTTATAAAAATTGGTATTTAATTTTTTAATGTACCTAATTTGAAATTATTTCGCAGCGCGTACGTTCATGAATAATTTTGTTTTGAATTCGAGATTGTCGTGTGATTTTGAGTATGTTTCGGAGAATCGCGTTTGTTTTTGCAGCAAGTTCGGTTACTTGAGATCCGTACGTTAAAATTTGAAGAATATAAGAATTGTAGATTTGGGTTTTCAGATGTGTTTTTAATTTTGAATGGGTTCCAAGAAGGGGGTATAATTTTGTTTTTGTTATTCTGGCTTTGCATAAGGCTGAAGAGATGAGTTTTTGGAAAGTTAATTTTTTGTCAATAATTACGCCTTAATATTTAGGGTCGGGTGTTTCTGAGATGTTTAAATTGTTTAAAGAAGGAGTAGATTGATGATTCTTTGATTTTCTTCGGTTGCCGAAGTAGGTAATTGTGGATTTTTCCGGGTTTGGGAGGAGTCTCCACTTTTCGTAATACATTTGAAGTTTGTTTAGGTGTTGTGGGGTGTATTTGTTAGCTTGAGCGGTTTGAGATGATGTAGTGATGATTGCGGTATCGTCAGCAAATAAGGCAATATCGGTATTTGGATCGGTAGGAATTTCGTGGGTATAAGTGTTGTAAAGTTGGGGAGAAAGTACGCCGCCTTGTGGGACCCCTGTGGTTCATTTTTGCAAGTTGGTAAAGGTGTTTTGAAGTTTTACTCGGAAAGAGCGATTGCTCAGGTAGTTGCGTATTAGCAAGATTAGGTTTTTGGAATATTTTAAGAAAATAAGTCTATAAATTGTTTTGTTAGTTCTACATTAATAATTTTTTCGTTAAGTTTACTGAGCATAGAAATTAAGTTAATAGGACGATAATGTTGTGGAAGTGTTGAGTTTTTGTTCGGTTTTGCTATTGGGATTACTACAGAGTGTTTAAATTGTTTAGGGAGGTAATTTAGTTGATAGCATGCATTATAGATTTTTATTAGTTGAAGAATAAAGTTGTTTGGATATTTTTTGATCATTTCGTTAGTAATTTTGTCTTTACCAGGAGATTTTTTGTTGGGAAGTGATTTACGTAATAAGTGATTGTAATGACGTGAAATTTATAATTGGATCGCC